AAATCCTAAACTGCTTACTTCTACCTTTCGTGTAACTCCTGCATACTCTTTGCAATGATTTTGTTATTCTTATTCCAACACCTACACTAACAAGAGTCACAAAATACCCTTAGTCCTCCCAGCAACTCGTCGCCCTATAATCAACTTCTAAGTTCAGCTACTAACCCACAAAACACTAACATCCCTGGAATTAAAAGCACGAAAGCAGAAGAGGCTTTCTTGTTCACTGCAGAAAAATATCGAACAACACAAATCAAGCCCTAAGAGCTAGAAGAGAGGGATTTAAAACTATCAGTTTTCTATGCTCACACTATCAAAGTTGGATGTTGTTGCGCAAGGAATGCCAGAGAGAAAATGAACATCAACTCTTGATTTTATTTACTTTCTATTCCTATCTGTACTTACTTCTCACGATCATCACATTCCAAATCACCACCTACAATAAGCAATGTATCACAGCTTTCCGACATAATTACTATTTATTATGCAGCATTTAAGAAACAAAGCGGGGTAAACGGAGTCTTATCAACATCGGTTCATATTGCATTATTGTTTGTAACTAGTGGGAACAACATCACTCACTGGGAGGAAGGTACATCCAGCTGACGAGTCCCAAATTGAAGGAAAAGGGCGTCGTGGATACTATTGCAAGCCTCTATTCATCATTACTATCAGTTCTTTTAGTACAACAACTAGAGAAAAATAATATGCATACCTTTTTGCCGCATAATTACAAAAGGTTCATATTCCTTATGCCTGAATAGCCATGAGACCTATGACACCTGTCATCTTGTAACAGCTAATGATTTTATCCAACTAATTAAAGGGTCAAGAATACCAATTGATTGTAGCTGATTAAAGTGTATATTATGAGACTTCGTTATCAAATGCCTTTGATATATCAAAACATAGAATAATGACGATTTTACGTACCTCACGGTTACTAGTGATGAAGTTGGAGAAATAAAAGTGGCAAATAACACAGTACCCATTCTTTATGAAACCATGCTGAGGCTTTGTGATTAGGTTTTCTGTGAATAGGTAAACAGAGACGTTGTTCTTAATTACTTTTTTCATAATTCTAGAGAGGACCGGTGTTATGTTGATAGCTCTGCAATGCTTGCATTACAATACACACAGGCATCACAAACACTGATGCACAATGAATGGCTAATAAACATGTTAAAAACAATAATAATTCACATATGACTAGGCATTGAGATGCACTATATAGTTTTCTCCTGCCATAAATGTATCCATGATGATGCAGTTGCTGATTATTTTCCAGCAGAATCTCGGACCAGACTTCCGTGTGAAAAGCTGAAATTATTTATCTCAAATACATTGAGATTTTTGCAAATATATATTGGTACCTAATATTATTTTTTTCATATGCAGAAGGAAGTGGAGATGGATAGGGCACACACTGTGAAGGCCGACTGGGGACATCACGCGTCAGGCCAGGCTGTCGAGTGGAACCCCGATGGGAAGCGACGAGTTGGGCGTCCGAGGGTGACATGGAGGAGGAAATGAGAGTTTATGGGTTGTCGTGGAGCCAGGTTCGAAAGATTTCAGAGAACAAGAGCATTGGAGACGCGCTACTGAAGCCCTATGTTCCATTAGGAACCCAAGGCACAAATAACAATAAAAATAAAATAATATTTTTTTTCTGGCTTTTAGCATATGTCAAATAGCGTTTTTGAAACACTCAAGTATTCATAAATGTTCAAGTCATATGGACGTCTCCAGAATCAGTAGTATAGGGTTTGACCAGATTCAACATTGATGCTGACCTTCATAGTTCAAGTAGACTGGCTAAGGTGAAGGCAACCGGTCAAGCATCCTGTCCATGTGACACGCCGTCGTGTTATGTTGCACTGCACGTAACCGACCCTCTAGCCAGTTAGTTGGAACGCATCGGTATCTTGGCACGACCTCACAAATATACCATTTCATCCGACTACACTATTGTGTTCTTTCTTGGTCTTTTATTTGTGGGTGTTTAACAAGTTCAAAAAATTAGTGACTGACTTCTGCGTCTGTCAAGTTCGCACCACGAAATTCCTATAAACTCTTACTAAACTTCTACCAAATGGCTTGCTCGGTATTCTGTACGTTCACTGAAGGAAGTCCGGTCTTCGCTGCCTCGCCTCTTCTGTCAACTTGCTGGTTTTTACCTATAGATCTTCAAGCTTGTCCGACGGTAGACATTAATCATCGGTGAAATCCAAATCATTTATGGTCTTTTCGTCGGTCACGATTAGTCCTCCCTATGTATATGTCCAGAAACACATGTAAATTTAGAAACGCAGTGGGATATAACGTAATCTTTTATACAGCGTTGAGGTCTATGCTGCAACAGGAATCCGGTCCTCTCAACTACGATAGTATGTCTTACTTGACCTTCGTTTCAGTACTATGCTATTAGATTCTCCTCTGTATGGCAACGCGATATAAACGTATTTCTTCGGAACAGAGTACAGACTAGGTTTCAACGCTGGCTGATTTTTGCAACGGTTTATAAACTTTAATGGATATCCATTTTCCACTAATGTTTCAGTAGGCATTTCGGTGTCATCATTGATTGTCTTCTCTGCAGATACACTGGATCCTTTTGTATAGGCAGGTTATCAGATTTCGCTTGTAATGAGATGGAAAAAAGTTATGGAAACTTAAACATTGACCTGTTCAAGGTTTCCAGGAAATCGACCGTTTTATTGAACTGTCATCCCTACGACTTGGGAGTATATACAAGAATGGCAGACGATTGTCTCTCTCTTCTCACTTCACAAGGTTGTCTTCAAATTTTCGCACTTTTTTTCCCTTCATCATCTTCCTAATTATTGGATTCCTTTATGTCACATTTATCCTTCCTCTACTTCCTCACCTGGTCAACTAGTTACTAGCTGGTACTAAGCCGGGGTAGTGAGTGAAGGTTGGGCACAGAGCTAGCAACCCTACCCCAGAAAACCAATCCAATCGATAAAGAAACTTCAGAATACAAAAAAAATATAAAAAATAAAAACAAACATATTCCTCGACGCAATCGGAGGGACGAAATGACGCCGCTCGGTGAAAGCCTTCAGGAAGCCAGTCGGCCGATGTATCCTCTCTTCTCTCGATGAAAGCGAAGGTAAGGTTGGGGACATGGAATGTCCGCACCATGTATGAACCTAGCAAGACTGTCCAGATTGTAAAAGAGATGAGGAGGTATGGCCTGGGAGTGCTTGGAATCTACGAAAAAAGATGGAATGGGAGTGGACTCTCCAAACTGTCAACTCAAGAGTCAATAATCTACTTCGACATTTCCACCCAGACGACAACCACCAGCACACCCTAGTTTGGAGTGGCACTCATGATGTCTCCAAGAACATCAAAGGCTCTCATGCAGTGGGAACCAGTCTCCTCCAGGATCATGACAGCAAGATTCAACTCAAAAGGAAAGTCACAATCATTCAATGCTACGCGACAACAATGGGAAGAAAGTGGAGATGTTGCCTCCTGAACACAAGATCAGACCAAGAATGGAAGCAGATAAGGTTCACACCACTCACTATCTAGTGCAAGGAACATAAGTGCAAAATCAAGTTGAAAGCCTTCAAAAAAGTTGGTGATAGGCCACAGTTCAAGACTCGGAAACTGAAAGACGAAACTTCAAAGGACATCTTCACGTCAGCCATCAGAACAAAATGGGCGACGTCGAGCAACATTCCTGAAGGATCGGGCGTGGACGAACACTGGAACTCTTTGAAAGCTATGTGGAAAGAAACCTGCATAACCATACTAGGAAGGAAAAGGAAACAAGACAAGGAAAGGATTTCAACGGACACATGGAAGCTGATAGACGAGAGGAAGATTGTGAAGCAGAAGATGAACCAGTGCCACAAATCTTTATCAATATCATTCAGCAGCTATACGCTATATGAGGATACCACATGCCAAGTGATGCCTTTGAAGTGAAGACAGGTGTAGGACAAGGCTGCCGTCTACTTTCACCGATGATCTTCCTGACTGTGGTCGACTGGATCATGCAGCAAACCACCAGCAGCGAGAAGATGAGCATACGCTGGGCCGATGAAAGGGCCCCACAAGAAGATTTGGATCTTGCCAATGATGATTTATGCCCAATGTCGCACAAACTGGAAGATCTACAGGCAAAAACTAACAATTTGACAGAGGCGAGGCAGCGAAGACGGAATTTCTTCAGGTGAATTAGAGAAGACAGAGGTGGTGAAGATACCCAACCAACAACATCAAGCACCAGTCACCATGAACGAGAGAAACTTTTAGAAAGTAGCCTCTTTCAACTACCTAGGCAGCATCGCTTCAACTACAGGCGGTGGCACACATGAGGATATCAAAACCAGGATCGGAAGGACAGCAAGACAGGCCTTTCTTGATTAACCTGAAATCAGTGTAGAGATCTAATGCACTGCACTTCACTTAGCATAAAGCGTGAACAACATCCGGATTTTCAGCACTAATGTCAGTCAAGCAAGTCAGTGCTACAATGTGATGGTTCAGAGAGTTGGAGCATTACGGAAAGCATTCCCAACAAACTGCAGACATGCGTCTACAGCTGCCACCTATGCTCATCCAATACTGAAGATCAGATGAGATGGCCAGAAAGAACAAGCATCAAGGAACTCTGGTTATCAGCGAACCAACCAACCAAGAACCCATCGCCCAACAAATATACAGAAGAAAGTGTAGATAGATTGAATTGGATATACAATGAGAAGACGGTTTGGTGACATCACACATATCAGGCCAGACCGTCGAGTGGAATCCAAAGGGGGAACGACAAGTTGTGAGTCCAAGAGTGACATGGAGGAGATGGTGTGAGGAAGAAATGAAAGCTTGTGGGCAGTGGTGAAGTCAGGTTAGGGAGACTGCAGAGAACGCAGTGTAATGGAGACGTGCTACTGAAGCCCTATGTTCCACTAGGAACTCAAGGAACTAATAATCGGATAAAAAACGAGTAATCATAGTGAATCGGATTTCAAAAGAGGAAATAAAACGAATTGTATTGGTAGTAACAACTGTGTACTTTTATAACAGTTTCTTATCTACGCGACAAAAATAAAAGGTGAATTCGGTTTTTTTCATCACATTACAGCTGGCTATAATACCACTGTAGAGGAGTAAAAACTGAAAAATACATTTAGAAAAGGTGCTATTAGTAGTTACAGCTTATCAAAGTATTTTACACTTTTTAGTTACTAAAATGAAAAAAAAACCAGAATACTTTATCTCCAAACAAAATCCATTACGCCATAAGTAGAACAATAACACCTATGATCAATAGCAAGATAGTGATAGGCATTACAAATATAAGATCAGAAGTTCCCGGTCTTGGTACAATGATAGAGAAAGTATTCTGAATTTGTGTACTAATCATTAAATTGTTGCTTTTAGGACAGTTGAGAACAGGATGTTTGATTTCAGTAGTATGCTCAGTGTTGCTAAGTTCATCAGTTTTTGTTAATGGAAGGCTGAAAAGAAACGTATAGCAAAGTTAATTAAGATGTGACCGAAGAAAAGACTCCTTTATACAAAAGTTTATCATTTAACAGATGAAAAACATAGGATCACGTCTGTATTTAAAAGTTATTGAAGTTAACGAATAACAACCAACCAAATTCAACGAAAGTGTAAATGACCTTGAACAACCAATTAAGACGCTAAGACGTGAAAAAGGTGTTGAATGGCATACAAAACGCATAATAAATGTACAAATTAGTAATACTTTGAATAAAAGTGTCACAGTTATGTAGAAGTGCGTCTATTAATTATGGCTAGCAGTGAAATCCAGGACGCGCGTCTTCTCCTACTTGGGACTCGTCAGTTGCATGTACCTGCTTCTCAGTGAGGTCGAACTCGACACACATTCCTTCAAACGCCAGAGTGTTACCCATTAGACCATCGAGTCACGATAGCCACTTCATGTGCGACATGCTTGTATTATGCCCCGCTGTCGTTAAGTGGACCAAGTTAATCGGTCTCTATTGGTATATAGACTCCTGCGTAGACGCCTTGATTTTACTTAACAGTGGAATCCAGGAAGCGCGTTTCGTACTATTTAGGACCCTAATCAACTTCATTACATGAATTTGCTTAGATAACTGTAGATCATTTATTCTGAGAACATGATCTGCTTTTATCCTGTTTTTGAGTCGTGACCGTTATAAGGTCTACAGACTTAGAGGTGTGGTTAACTGTATGATCCGCATAACACAGGGCATTTAATCACTGATAAGTATACCACTGGCAAGTATGAATTCTTATTCGAGAAATAAATAAATACTGTATAATTGGAATAAAAACACAGGCATTTTTGCTTTGAAGCCAGTTATTCGAGCAGGTTTTTTGAAAATCAAATCATGACATATAAATATAGTTTATCGGTTTGATTATCTGACATTGAAAGTGTGCTTTGTCAGTCTTGTATTGCTATTGGTTGGTAGAGGATCTAGGCAAATAAACACGGCGAATGCTGGTTCCAACCAGCTACAGCCTAAATTTTCATTCCACCCTCAATTATCATCCGGTATCAATACAAATAGTACAAAAAACATATCGTTATGAACAGATTTCTTTTTGAGGACAATTGAGCATTTGAGTATGTAGCCATCAACTATTACCCTGTGCCACGGAGTAGTCATATTTCCAACATACTCGCAGACTTATTGTCTACCAGTTGGTCAGTTTTCTAGATAATGCTGAAAAACTAATTTACTAAATAAGATGGTCGTGGTTACGACAGAAAAGTCACCGTATGAAACTCTCAAAGTAATTAACTATGAGGTCATCAACCAATTTGTTAAGCAAGACAATTTGCATGCTCAGCAAAGCACCTGAAGTTAAGTCATTAAACTAAAAAAATACTCCTTCAGTAGACATGAACCCGTCACAGAAAGAAAATACATTCTTAAAAACGAAGGTCAATGACCAACCAGTATATAGCACCAATCTGCAATTTAAAAGAGTTAATCACTAACATCAATGCAACCGTCATCACTTTATTCAAACAAAAATGTCAACCAATCAGGTGGATACAACCTTCATCAACCAATCAAAATGAAACAGTACCAGTATGTTGCATTTAAACAACAACAGAAAACAACCAATGAAGTGGTTGCACATCGCTCTCAACCAATCATATTCAATCAACACTTATAAACTCACTAAACTACCAATCAGATTGGATTCAGGTAGAGTAGATGTAATTAATACCCATACACAATCAATTTACTTTACTTTCTTGTGATGTGCTGAAGATAATGTCTAGTACAACCTTTGGAATATTTGCTCAGAGAACAAGTCAATCTGAACAGCCACATATTGAGTTATAAGTATCCTTCACAATTTCTATAGTCATCCAGAGAACTAACTAATTACATCAATTTTTCAAATGATGGTGGTAAACAACATGAAATGCACTACATAAGATTAAGTGTGATTAGATACTACTTATGTAGTAAGCTTATAATGCAACTTTCAACTAATTAAGCACTTATCTCCGTCACATAACTTATGAAGCTCAGTACACAGACATTAAAATGCACAAGAAGATGGTTATTCAATGTTTTTCAGTAAAGACAGTAAACATACTGATAGCGTAGATGAACTGGAATATCTAAAGATTTGACAGGATTATTTTGACCAAATTTAAGTGGATTCAATTGATCAGTATTGAACCTAAAAGTTAATGGTTCAGCAAGCCATTCTGGAGCTTCAATATCAACTAAATTACGATGGATTAATTCTTCATGTACATTGGAGGGACCAGTTTTTTTGGAGTTTGTCAACCAATTTACAAATTGTTCAATTCGAGAATTTGTCTTTTTTCCATTCATTGGCTTAATTATTGAAAAATTTAATTTTGGTTGACTAGAGGCCAATTCATATGGATCAATGAAAAAACCTGATGATAAAATTGAATAAGAACATAATTATCATTTTGACGATCTGAGATAGCCACAGTTTGGCAGACTAGTATTGATAATGGGTGTTGATTGAAGATGAAATGAAAAATTTGGACGGCGGTCGGATTCGAACCAACGGGTTTCCGATCCGATGCTCTACCGACTGAGCTATGAGGTCCAACTGCTGACCAGATTTTCATTTCATTTCAATCACCAAGGGTTTTTGTCCGACTACCATATGAATTCATGACGCGTTACTACCGTTTCATCTAGTCAGCAGTCGGACCTCGTAGCTCAGTTGGTAGAGCAACGAACCAGAATCCCTGTGGTCGCTGTTTCGAGTGCGGCCACAATCCAAATTTTCATTTCACCTTCAATCATCACTAAGTATACGACATATAAGATTGCAACTAGGGATTACGAATTGAAGCTATCATCAATGTGATGATGTGAATTAACTTCAATCAGGTAATGAATGAAATTCAGCTGATCTTTATATAATTCAAATATGATAGGATAGAAGTTAAGCCAAGCCAAGAAAAACAGTAGCAAACAAGTTGAGAAAATTGATAACCTCTGAGGAAATGAATTCATTGAAGCAACTTTTACAGTTCATTGATTTTCCATACAAACCTTTAGGGGGATTCATTAATTTGAAGGTGACAGATAATAGATATCCTATTAAGTTCAGCAATAAACACTTTCAGCCTAAAAATAAGAAACCGAATGGTGGAAAAAAAGAACGGGTTGGTGAATGAGCACTGCTGAGGAGTCCCATACGAGGACGAAAAAGCTGCCCAATGCTCCCAGGCTTCCATTCTTCCTTTAACTCATGTCAATCTACGAAGAATACTAACTTGAAAATATTTCTAAATCCCCTAAACTGGTGTTCATTGGTGACTAGCTTCGACAGGTGATTCCCGAAGTTTTAATGAGAAATCGTGACGAGTGGGGCTAGCCTGATGGTCGTGAGGACAGTTACTCAACTATGACACCGAGTGGCGGTTGCTCTATCTCGTGAACTGACAGAAGTTGGAAATATGGACCATTGGATTGTGACTCAGCGACTCAATGGTAACGTTCTGGTCACGGAGCCTGAGGGTCATGGGTGCCCACTGCTGAGAAGTCCCATACTAGGACGAAACAGCTGTCAACTGCTTCCAGGTTTCCATTGTTCCTCGAACTGATGTCATTCTATGAAGAATACTAACTTGAAAATATTTCTAGATCCACACAACCCCCTCGAAAAAAGTGCTCATTAGACTATCATTAAAAAGGAATGAATTGACTTCACAAAATGATCGTCGACTGAATGCATGCATCGCACTAATTTAGATGTCAGATCTCCTACCTATAATTGCATTAACTTATTCACCTGTACTTGCAGTAACATGTATGTCAGAAGAAGGGAGAGGCTCCTTACTAAACGAATCTCTGAACATCTACCGGAAAACCTATCATTGAGAGGTGGAAGGCTACCAACCAGCGTCATTAGTAAGCATATACTAGACTCAAACATACCTTTTAAGGTAATCAATAGACAAAGAAATAGTAGACTGCTACGTTCTGCAGAAGCCGCAGCAATCCGTCGACGGAAACTAGACTTATGAGTACAAAAGGAGTTAATGATTCACCTTACATTGTCTTCGCGAGTTGTTCTTTTCCTACAGCTCTGTTTACTACTTCATTTTTTCCGCTTATTCGCATTATCATGAAACAGAGCGTAGAACGGCAGTCAACTCTCCACCTCAACTTCATCGATTTTGAAAAGGCCTTCGATCAAGGCGTCGACCGAAAAGTAATTTGGCAGGCAGCTGCTTCAACACTACAGAGTACCACAAATCTTTATCAGCCTCATCCAACAACTGTATGACGACGTCACATGCCAAGTGGTTGACAATGTAAAGCTCAGTGATGCGTTTGAAGTAAACAGGTATAGGACAAGACTGCCGTCTACTATCACTGATGATCTTCCTGATTGTGGTCTACTGGATCATGCAGCAAACCGTGACGAGCGAGAAGATGGGCATACGCTGGCTTTACCAGTGAAAAGAGTCTGGAAGGTTTGGATTTTGCAGATGATTTATGTTTAATGTCGCACAAACTGAAAGATCTAGAGGCGAAAACCAACAAGTTGGCGGAAGAGGCAGCGAAAACGGGACTTCAAGTGAATGTAGAGAAAACACAGGTGATAAGGATACCCAACCAACAACAGGCACCAATCACCATTAACGGGAGAAACCTAAAGGAGGTTGTCTCCTTCAGCTACCTGAGAGCATCGTTTCAACTACAGGCGGTGGCAAACATGAGGATGTCAAAACCAGGATCGGTAAAGCAAGACAGGCTTTCACTAATTTGAAATCACTGTGGAGATCTACTGCACTGCAGTCTACTTCACTGCACTCAGCATAAAGCGTGAACAACATCCGGATTTTCAACACTAATGTCAAGTCAGTGTTGCTATATGGTTTAGAAAATTGGCACGTCACGAAAAGCATTTCCAACAAACTACAAACATACATCATCAACAGCTGCCACCTATGCTCATCCGATACTGAAGATCAGATGAGATAGCCAGAAAGAACAAGCATCAAGGAACTCTGGTTATCAGAGAACCAACCAACCAAGAACCCATCGCCCAACAAATATACAGAAGAAAGTGTAGATAGATTGGATTGGATATACAGTGAGAAGACGGTTTGGTGACATCACACATATCAGGCCAGACCGTCGAGTGGAATCCAAAGGGGAAACGACAAGTTGTGAGTCCAAGAGTGACATGGAGGAGATGGTGTGAGGAAGAAATGAAAGCTTGTGGGCAGTGGTGAAGCCAGGTTGAGGGAGACTGCAGAGAACGGAGTGTAATGGAGACGTGCTACTGAAGCCCTATGTTCCACTAGGAACCCAAGGGAAAAATAATAATAAATTCTAGAAAGATATTTAGCAATGCTCGGCATGCCATTTATTTTATTTATTTATTAGAATACAAATGTGGTACAACAAGGGCACCAACAAAATAATATAACAACGTTATGAAGACGTAAAGCGAAGGAAAGTGGATTAAAAGTAAGAACAGACAAAGAATAGTATGATAAGAAGAGCACTGCAGTAAGATATTTCCAAAACCAAACAATGATTACTTTACAGCATCAGTTTCCATTCTGAGCAATATCTGATAATGCATCAAGCCATTGAGTTGTCTGATCTCTCGGACCTATCCATAGAGTAGTAATGAACCAACAGATGCTAACCCGATGCAACCACCTTCATCGCACAGCGTCACATCATACAATGACCACCCGCCCGCTTCTTTCATTCAGTTCCTAAGTTAGCGAACAATAAACGGCGTGGAAGCCGTCGGGACAACATGCGTAACACATGTCCAAGTCACCGAAGCCGGTGTTTTCAGATAATTTCACCCACTGAATGAAGATCCCCATCATGTCCGAACACACGCTGTCGTACCTTAGGATTACTTACACGATAGTACCACCAGAATGTCATGATTAGTTGTGAAAGCTTCGGGGAATTCTAGGCTTCTTTGATGAATTTTGGGGATATTGTCTCACACTATAACAAGAATCATTGAAAACGTAGAAGCACTGGACAGCCATTTCTTCCTAGTATGATATTTTCTAAACAGTACGCACTTAGGAACCCGTCAGAAGAGTAAACGACACTAGTTGTGGTCTTCTGAAGTGATCAAATGAATAGTAAGAAATACGTGACCGATACTAACGAAATGAGACACTTGAATCGGATACGAATGGCCACCGTTTTCCATCAGTACCTTAGAATTCACCGAGCCACGAAGATTAGCTTGTGACTCCACAGAAAGATACTTTATTCAAGAAAAATGCATCATTTATATATACAAGGTCAAATGCTAAATAACTTATTTTGATTGGTTAACCTGTAGGACAAAATTATCCAATCAGATTATTCCTGACTACACAGTAGCATGAAAGAAAAGTTACAATACGAAAACTTCTAATGTTGACTTCCATTTACACCCCATTCTGTTATCTTCAATAGGATCTATCAGTTTCCTTTTAATTATGAACGCATAAGTAGTACACAATAAAGATTTAAAGCGCTTAATCAACTGCCAAGAAATCTTTAGTAGTGACCACATACAATTTTGTAGGTTCCAGTACCTCTTTAGCTCTCTCCCATGAAAAGCCTCCAGAGCAACAGTCTCAAATATACAAATATATTTTTACTAACAATAACATACCTGATGGGAGATGTACATGAAGTTGACAAGTTTCGAACAATTCCCTAGGAATATCATAAAAATCACAGTGTAATCGAAGATGAAATCCTTGTTGCGTAATATTACAGTCAAGATGTGGACGTTGATTAGGAAATGAAGGTGGAGTGCTGATAGTGTAAGTGATGAATAATAGTGAAATTGCACAGCTTAACAAAATAATCATCTGGAAAAAAAAGAGCAGAGGAAAGACAATTGAGAAAATGTAGTTTAGACCTAAGGATTTTGAGTAATAACAAAAAGACTATGGTGGAGAATAATTGTAGCTTAGGTGCATGATTTTGGTTGTATTGTTTCCTCTGAGCTGGATTGTTTAGTTGTGGAGCTTTCATCGTCTTGGTAGACAGCGATATCATCAGCACTAACTTCAGCATGAAGTGACCTATAAATATCTCTCCGTGACTGATTCAGTAACTTGTGATTGGTTGTTTCCTTTGATTGTGTCATCTAACTGTATAAATTTTACTGTTGGCTGTTACTCTACTTCACCTCTGACCTTTCTGTCGATTATCGTTCTCCTCATTGGTTGATATATTAGGTCTATATCTGTACGTCTATTGGTTACTGACTGACTGGCTGACCTGAATGCCAAGCTTTTAGGAATCCGTTGATGTTCTTTTTGTTTCCTCTCTCCGTTCAAGATTTTCACATTGTCATAATTCAATTCATGTCCATAACTATACACGTGGATTGAAACGAGTGATGAAATGTCATGTGTTACGTTGAATAGCCAATTAATGTTCATGTAGACGAAGCTGAAGAGGGTGACCACTTCGTCCAACCTAGTGTTGACTACAGTTATTGTAGATCATTTTGTAAATAATATTCGATTTATCTTCTTTGGTTGTTGCATCCTTTGGTCTGCATAATAGTGTTTGGAGGGAATTTCTTGGTTGATGAGCCATTCCATTTCCGAGTCGTCTCAGTAATCTTGTCGTGATTTCTGATATATTCTTTATGTATGGTAGGATAATGCGTTTATTGATTTCTGTGGATGACTTTGTAGTTGATGATGTACGGGACAGGCACCTTCTGATAGTGTTTCGTGGTAGCCGTTCTTCTATAGGGTGGATATCAAGTAATTTTCTTCGTTTTTCCGTGTTGTTGTACTACAGTGTTCTCGCTCTTTTCAATAGAGTCTTTTTAATGTTTTCTGTTCTTGAGTATTCATTGGAGTGTGATGTCTTTTCTGCCTGGTCAGTGATACGATTGTTTACCGTATTTCTTGTTGAGTGAAAGCTCCACAACTAAACAAATCAGCTTAGATTAAAAAAAGTGACTTGTAGTAGGGATAGGATTAAATCGATATAAAGGATGAATAGTGGCGAACAGTGAAATCTAGAATGTAAATCTCGGTACATCTAGGATTTGTCAGCTGGATGTACACCTAACTACCAGTAAATGTTGCTGTTCTCAAATAAGATGAAATTGACTTCCTGGATTTAACTGTTAGTAACTCAGACAGACGGGCAGATAAAATCAACGTATAACCTCTTGAATAGGTGTATCACCTCAACTTGCCACAACTTACAATAGTATAAAAAGAATGATATCGAAGAAGACAAAATTGAATGAGAGAATAAACAGTTATTACAAATATTCAAGCTTTAGAAGACGTCGAGGAGGGAATGAATCTGTACCGTTATGACCGATTTCCATTCATGTCACCAACAGTCCTCAACCACTGATTCCTATCATCTAGAACACCCATACCGTTTTAACTAAGAGTCAAGGACTTCATGGACTGATGCCACACCTCGGTCTCACCAATCCGAAACCTTCTTCATCAAACCTAATACAACTTCCCCCACCAGGGTACGTTGAGGTAGGCAGTGACTCAGCATACGCTACACATGTTCAAGACACCTTAGTCACTGTTACTTCACAACCTCATCCATCGGTTTGCCTTTTTTGTCCAGTACCCTTCGCCTAATTTCAACATTACTCAGATGGAGATTCTATCATACACGAGCAATACTAAGAAGATAACTATTAAACACTGTCTATCTTTAGTATGAAAATGAAATTACCAGTTTGACCAAGGCGTTCACATTAGAGTCTATATGCCAAACGGTGACAGGTCATTTTGGTTTGCATCAAGAGAAACATTAAATTATAATATAACACTAAGTAACTTGAGTTGATAGGTGGATGATAAGTTTTTGCACAGAATTCAAATCACCATCTATAGCTGGCACCTACTGATAAATATTTAAACATTGTACATACTAGTCAATACGGTTGATTCTGAATCACAGCGTCAATAAGGCTTAAACACATCCATCTTCTGCGTCTGATGACGTGGTAGTATTTTAAGCGACTTCTAACATCCTACAACAGACTAATCTATACATTCCTAAAAAGAAGGCTATGAAATGGTCGAGGATGGGATGATCCTGGTCATTGCCGTCATACGGTTCTGTGTTCATATACTCTTCCACGGCAGCGCCACTCATTGGGTTCATGTGGTAGAGGGTGTCTCAGGAGGGCACCAGTTGTCCACCTGAGGTTCACGTACTAAAACGGACCAATGACGCATGAACTTACCTTAGTTACTAACTAATTATCCGAATTCACCACCTCACGTTGGTTCGCTACCTGGTGGATCAGAAGTTGCAAGCTGGGGAGAATTGTCTCTTAAGAGAATCACTTGCTCCAGTTTGTGTATCTGGGCTTTACCACAGTCTAAAAACAAATAATGAGTCAGGATTAACGATAAAGTACAAAAAAAAGCTTACCAAATTTTTTATGATGAACGTTTTACTCAACCATTCAATTTATTATCTTGATACCGCCGTTATTTATACATCGGAAATATGCGATTTCTTCGTTATCCCTTTCATAATCATCTTTGTGCACTTTTTCTCAATCAACTACGCGTTATCAGCTAAAAATTTTATGAGTCGGCAAAACAGTTTTTTTTTAGAAACCGATACAACTACACGGTAACCATGCGCACACCTTAGGTTAGTAATAAACATCGAAAATCGGTCTATCTTGGAGGTGAGACAACATACAGATTAGACTACGACTCTAAAAAGTCTCGAAACTGATGTATACTGTTTCTCAGAGACCAACACACAGTTCTAGTGAAGTACTTAGAATAGCTTATTCAATTTATCAGCGAAGAAAGGAACCTGTAGCAACAGCATTTGGCTTTACTGATGTTGGTGTCATAGTAAGTGAGAGAGTTGAAGTAACACAATTCGATTGGATCCCTATCAAACAGTCGCTAGTGGCTCCAGATGAGATAGCTTATATGGCCAAGAATCGATGACAGAAGCGATCATGCTGTAGCTTTCGTGGTTCTTCAACTACTGAAAAGTAAAATAAAACAAATAGGCAATATTCGTCACAGATTGATATCAGTTGGGGAACCATTAGGAACCTGGGAGCACTGGACAGCCATTTCGTCCTATCATAGGACTCCTCAGCAGTATGCACCCACAACCTGGCTAGGGGTTTGAACTCAGGACGTTCACGTTTCACGAGGAACTCGTTAACCATTCAACCACTGAGTCAGAGTTCAGTGGTTCACAGTTTCCCACTTCTGTCAATTCACGATATAGCGCGATCATCATCAAGGTCTTCAGATGGCATCTGCCTCCCTTCCGACTGGTTGACTCTACAGGTCACAGTTTTTCATTAGAACCTCGTGATATCCATCTGGAAGCAAGTCACTAATGAGGACTATACAGTAATATATTTTTGAGACGAATGGGGATTTTTAATTTTTTTTTCTTTCCTTCAGCAGTAAGCATCCAATTATGCGTTCGCGACAGAGGCCTTAAATATTTTTATATCTAAGCTATTTCTAAAACAACGGTCAATTTAAATAAAGGCCAAATGATTGAAAACCAGCTACAAGAATTAAGTGTCAATATTTGAAATACATATTATTTTCGCATAAACTGAATACTAATCGACCAACAATGAATGGAATTCCCTAAACAATTCGTTGTATATCGGTCCCAGTTTTACAATATTTCTGTTTGCCCCTGTTCATCGCGTTGAAATAAGCCATAATGATTAGAACTAAGTAAGAAAGTTGTATTACGTTCAAGGTCACTATGGTAAAAATGGACCAATCACAGACTAGAACTTTAGTTACGTGATCCACCAATGAGACAGACAGGCATGCATATCAATTCGGACAAATGAAAGCGAAACGGCTATTTGATTCGACAAACAAATAAACAATTTGAAACAATTGGTCCCTTTAATAAATTTCGATAACGCTATTAGAAGACGAAGATTATCTGAAAAATGTGATGTATTTGCGCAATACATTTCGAACAATCTGATCACACATTTACTTGTCAAGTCAATTTATACATGAAAATTAAAGGTCAAATATGGTGAATATGAAAAGGTTGTGACACTAGTCTTGGTAATATAATCAGATAAGGACTACCAAGGTAAATTAAGTGGAACAACAAATTGTTTTTGTACACACAGCTGGGGATTAAGTTTACGAATGGCTAACGCTTCGGCAAACTTCAGTATACGCCCCTGATTATTCCTGTATATTATCTTAAACGCTGTTTTCGTGTTAACCCTGTGATTCATTTCAATAATATGTTTTGCTATAGATGACGATGGATGGAAGACAATTAATATTCTCTGTGACCACATATCTTCGAATTATCCTTCTTTCCCTATTCCTTCAACTTATTTGAAAGAACTGCTTTTATTATGTACTGATAAGGTTCATTTCACTTTCGAAGGTGAACACTTTCGGCAAATTGATGGTGTAGCCATGGGGAGTCCATTAGGACCGTTATTAGCTGACGTATATATGTCACATACTGAACTAATGGCCCAAGATTTAATCACCAATGTCACACTTTATAGAAGGTATGTGGATGATATCCTTGTAATATGTGACACAGATGAGGATGCCAAGAGGTTATTAAAAAGGCTTAATACCGTACAAGATCATATCAGTCTGACATGTGAGGAAGAAAAAGATCATCAACTTGCATTTCTTGATATACTCTTGTGCCGGAGGGAAGATGGATCTATAAAACGATCAATATATAGGAAGTCTACTTGGACAGGACAGTATTTGAATTTTCATAGTTTTTGTCCGATGAAATATAAGAGAGGCTTAGTAAGATGCTTGTTCAATAGAATCCAACGTATTTGTACATCTGATACGATGGATGATGAGAATAAGTTTCTGACAGACACTCTAGTGGAAAACGGTTATCCATTACAGTTTGTCAACCATTGTAAAAAGCAGTTGACCCCAAAGCCTACAGTTTCCTCGGTCCCGAAGAAAAGCATATTTCTTAAAGTACCATACAGAGGGGAAACAAGTAGTATGATATTGAAGCAGAGATTAAAATCTGTTATCAGTAAAACATACTATGCAGCTCAGCTTATAATTGTTGAGACGACAAAACACCTGCTTCACCACAAACCTCAACCTCGCACAAATGATTACATCACATCCAACTGCGTTTACCAATTTACATGTATGTGTGGGCACACATACATCGGGAGGAGTAATCGTTCAATGCAGACTAGGGTGGGTGAACACATCCCCAAATGGCTAGAAAAACAGTTTAACACACAAACTTTGATAAGTGCAGGTGACAGACATCCATCGTCATCTATAGCAAAACATATTATTGAAATGAATCACAGGGTTAATACGAAAACAGCGTTTAAGATAATATACAGGAATAATCAGGGGCGTATACTGAAGTTTGCCGAAGCGTTAGCCATTCGTAAACTTAATCCCCAGCTGTGTGTATAAAAACAGTTTGTTGTTTCACTTAATTTACCTTGGTAATCCTTATCTGATTATATTACCAAGACTAGTGTCACAACCTTTTCATATTCACCATATTTGACCTTTAATTTTCATATATAAATTGACTTGACAAGTAAATGTGTGATCAGATTGTTCGAAATGTATTGCGCAAATACATCACATTTTTCAGATAATCTTCGTCTTCTAATAGCGTTATCGAAATAAACAATTATATGAGAAATACACCAAAATTAACTTTCGAGCACACACAGACAAACATCAATCAATAGAGAAGTCAGGAGTAACAATAAGTCATTCATCTTCAAAAAATGTATTTATCAAGAATATTTAAGGCAACACTTTGATAGATACACCTGGGAAGCTGTACAAATGACAAGTTGACAGGTGACAAAATCTCTTCAGAATAAAGTTATGTCTTTTTAAAGTTCTCATCTAGCATTCGTTTATTCTTTTTGTGTTTGACTTTCGTATTGTTCGTTTTCTGAAGTCCATTTTCGGAGATATTTCTGTTATGACCATCTTGTTTCGCAGACATTACTGATGAATTTTTACCTAGAGACTATGAATGATGAAATTAGAAAAGTGGTTGTATGTGACGATTTTTGACTGATCAGATAGAAAAAGAACGCATACATGAATCAATGAGTGATGTCAAATCGAGTCGTAAAAAGAAAGTACTTACGTACATATCTGTATTCTGATTGGTTATCTGTGACCTGCGCAGCTACGAGTAATACTTTGATCTTATTGGTTACTTTTGAAATAACAAAGGTATTTTTTGAGGGGGTTGTGGAGATTTGGAAATATTTCAAGTTGTTATTCATCGAAGACTGACATCAGTTGGAGGAACAAAGGAAACCTGGGAGCACTGGACAGCTGTTTCGTCCGACTAGTATGGGACTCCTCAGCAGTGCGCACCCACGACCCCACCAGCAGGGATCGAACCCGCGACCTTCAGGTTCCGCGACCAGCGCGTTACCATTGAGCTAGCCACTGGGTCAGAATCCAATGCTCCATATTTCCAACTTCTGTTAGCTCACGATATAGCGCAAATACAAATACTCAACGATGACATTGGGTGGCGGTCTGCGCTATATCGTGAGCTAACAGAAGTTGGAAATATGGAGCATTGGATTCTGACCCAGTGGCTAGTGGAACATAGGGCTTCAGTAGCACGTCTCCATTTCATTCCCTTCTCTGAACTCATTTGAACCAGGCTCCACCACTGCCCACAACCTTTCATTTATTCCTCACACACCATCTCCTCCAATATCACTTTCACATGCACAACTCGTCGTTTCTCATGAGTGTTCCACTCGACAGCCTGCACTGGCACGTAATGTCCCCAAATCGTCTTCTCAATCTATGCAAAATCCATCTCCAGTTTCTTCGTATGCATATTTCTTGGGCGACCGCTTGTTGCTTCCTTTGTTGCCAGCTCACAGTTCCATGTTGCTTATTCTTTCCGGTCACCTGACCTCTAGTATCTAGCGTGGACAGCTGTTGATGTATGTCTCTAATTTGTTGGAAATGTTCTTCATAACGCGCCAACTCTATGAACCATCACATAGAACCACTGACTTACTTAACTGACATTAGTGTTAAAAATCCAGATCTTGTTCACTCTCTATGCTGAGTGCAGTAGATCTTCACAATGATTTCAGGTCAATCAAGGAAGGCCTGTCTCGCTGTCTTTACCATCCTGGTTTTGACATCGTCATCTGTGCCTGTACCACCTACAGTTGAAACGACGCTGTCTTGACTAGGTAGATAACTGAAAGAGACTACTTCCTTTAGGTTCCTACAGTTCACGGTGATTGGTGCTTGGTGTCGATCCTATTGTTAGTTAGGTATATTCATTATCTCTGTCTTCTCTACATTCACCTGAAGGAAGTCCCGTCTTCGCTGCCTCGCCTCACCTCACCTCGACTCTTCTGTCAACTTCTTCCTTTTGCCTGTAGATAGATCTTCCACTTTGTACCACAAGACATCAGGCGTAAATCATCTGCAAAATACAAACCTTCCGGACTCTTTTCATTGGTAAAGCCAGCGTATACTCATCTTTTCGCTCCTCATGGTTTGCTGCATGATCCAGTAGACCACAATCACGAAGATCATCGGTCATAGTAGACGCCAGCTTTGTCTTACTCCTGTCCTCACTTCAAACGCATCACTGTGCTTTCCATTGTCAATCGCTTGGCATGTGGCGTCGTCATATAGTTGTTGAATGAGGTTGATAAACATTTGTGGTACTCAATAGTGTTCAAGCAATTTTCAAATTACTACCCAGTCGACGCCTTGATCGAAAGCCTTTTCAAAATCGATGAAGTTGAGGTAGAGAGTTGACTACGATTGTACGCTCTGTTTCATGGTGATGCATAGTGTAAGGTTGCAATTTGATGTGCACACGATTTGTTCTTCCTGAAGCCAGCCAGCCAGCCAGTTCCGGTAGTAATTTTGAATCCGAGCATATTTTAGTGGCTCCAGAATGATGCGGTATTATATTTTGCTTGGTGGGGACAGCTGCATTGATTCCACGTCAGTTGGAGGAACACTGGAAACCCAAAGCACTGGATAGCAGCCGTTTTGTCCTAGTATGGGACTCCCCAGCAGTGGGCACTCATGACCCTCAGGTTCCATGGTCAACACGCTACCATTGAGCTATTGGGTGGGAATCTGATGGTTTATGTTTCAGATTTCTGTCAGTGCACGACATAGCTCGACCGTCAACCAATATCATCGTTGAGTATTTGTCCCCATGACCACCAGGTTTGTCTCACTGGTCACGATTTCTCATTGGGAAAAATTTTAAATACCTAGAAACCCTCAAAATTGATTTTTTTTTTGTTCTTCATCTTACATCTTACTACTTTGTTACTTTGTAAGCTGATATGAACCGTTACGCAATGATGCCTGGTCCTATGTTGATTGATTGAAAAAGACTATTAAGATGAATTTTACAATCTCCTATACTAAATCTTGAATAAAGTTTGCCCTTATCTTTGATCAATTGCTGTATAATCCAGTGGCAATAAATTGTCGGCTGTTCATCATTATATCCCATATTACTCTCGACTGATTGTTGCCTATCTGAGGGTCAGTCAATAATTACTGCACTTTGGGGGTTACACCTACAGTCATGATATTCCTGGAATACATAAAGACAACAGCTAGTCACCTTGAACCAATGCTAAACAATACAATAAGAATATGATTCACAGGAAAACAAGAAATCATTTCATTTCGCTAGGTATCATCAGCTGCATACAAAACTTGAATACATTCATGTATAGCTTCTTAAGTAAGTATACAGGAAGAACATATGGAAAATCGTCTATACTGGATGATGATTGAAAGTGAAATGGAAGTTTGAACCGATGCCAGATTCGAACCAGCAACCAAAGGGTTTCCGACACGATGCTCTACCAACTGAGCTATGAGGTCCGACTGTTGACCAGATTTTTATTTCAATTCAATCACCAAGGATTTTTGTCCGACTACCATATGAATTCATGACGCGTTACTACCGTTTCATCTAGTCAGCAGTCGGACCTCGCAGCTCAGTTGGTAGAGCGACGGACCGGAATCCCCGTGGTCGCTGGCTCGAGTCCGGCAGCGGTCCAAATTTTCATTTCACCTTCAATCATCACCTATTATAAGTACTAGTCTGCCAAACCACAGGTATCTCATATATACAAATGATAAGGAAAATTATCTGCCTGGAATTTCGATCATGTGCCAAGACTGTGAGCCAAAAGGTTCCCCCTTATTCAAACAGTGTATGGATGCAATAAACCGATGTGAAATAAACACAGGATACCAAATCAAGTTACTTAAAGGCTCCATAATGACTAACAGAGAAATCAGAACCTTGTTGGTTGTATTGTGTTCTCTGAGCTCCATACTGAAGTTAATGCTGATGATGTCGTCTAGCAAGACGATGAAAGCTCCATAACTAAACAAACCAGCTTAGAGAACACAATACAACGAAGACCATTCAACTAAGCTATAAATATTCTCCACCACTTCAAAATTAGAACTTTGCTGAATAAACATTCGAGATTAGCAAACAAAAAATCGCCTTATCTTGGCTAAGAGACAGTACCGTTTAGTGTGACTGATCTATAACTGCCTACTTCAGTTAGTTAGTGATTATCAATCTTGTGAAGCCTAATAATACAACTCTTCATAGTTACCCAAGAAGTGTCAGCAGATTAACGTGAGTTCGAACTCATCACTAACTAGTTGAAAGTCAAGTACAGAATATGATCAGTAACAACGCTGAACTGCTCATATTTTAACGTGTCTATCCTGATGTAAGCAATAAAATTGCCTTGACGTGGCGCGTTTATCATTATTTTCACAATCAGTTACTCATCTGTAATGATAAGAGAATGTACTCTCTGTTACACACACACACACACACACACACACCTTAATGTGATTTTCATAGTTTCTTAGGGCAATTTGATATTCTGCATTGAATTGTGACCATTGACTTTGATGGAATTGTAACTGTTTTATTTTTTTATGACCAACACGTTTAAGATCTTTCTTGAAATGATGAAACTAGACAGGTGAAAAACAAAAGTGAAACATAAAGAAACAAGTTAATGGTTAGCAATAAAAAAAGAGACAATTGTAGATCACTTATTACTAAACTTTTTCCAGTTTATCATAGCTACATAACTATGAAGATGTTAGGGGTGCCTATATCCCTTACATTCCATACTTACAGTTTGTATATAATTGAACTGGTTTATTCGCGCTCTTTTCCCGCGTATGGGTCATATCTCGTATGACTCGCTATTGTTCTGATTAACTCCTGCCTCTTTAAATGTACTAATTATTCCTTGTATTTCAAGGTTACTGTAAACTCTATATATAAATGGGGTCAGTTTTCATTCATAAACGTTTTCAGTTCGAGATGCTATAAAGTCATCTGATTTCCAGTCTTTTGATTTCTCTTTGTGAATCACTCGAGTTGAATCGTTTTAACCCTCAACTATCAATCGGTATCTTCGTTCGTCTTCACAACTCTATATCATAACAGAAACCACGATAGAAATAGCTACATACGACAAATGGACAAATCAAAGCATAATCTGGCAGAAAAATGTATCACTTCAAGTTTTCCTACTTCACAACAGTATAGAAGGTAGACAAATGCTTGTAGAGTTGTAATTCATTGGTTTAAGCAGTTGACTTTCAACTAGTGGGTCACGGGTTTCAACCTCATTCTACCTTACAAGGTTTGAGCAATCAGATAGTATTATGAGACCTCACACAACGGGTGTGGCTCATTACCTATCCCACGAATGTACACAAAGATGTCGAAATAAATATTCATGACGAGTGAGAATAACTAGATGAAGATGAAAAAAGACTGCATACATCTATACTATTGTCACCAATTATAAGCCATATCTCAGGTTGGTATTCACATCATAGACCGATATTAGTTGGTGAACCTCAAAAAATCTGGAAGTACCAAACAGTGGTCGTTTATTCTTAGTATGGGACTCTAGTAGTGCACACCTATGACCCCGACCCACCAGCGATCGGATCCAGAAACCTTCAGGTTCCATAGACAGCATTGGGTCGGGATCCGATGCCCCAAATTTCCTACTCCTATCAGTTCACGATTTAGCGCGACCTCTAATTCTTCATGTTTGACTCGGTTGGTCCCACTGATCTAAGCCAAATCACCAACAGCTTTCAACATCGCAGTTAGGTAGTCCACATTTTGTCAAACGGCTGAGACCAGCATTCAAAGACTTCATAGACTGGTGACAAGTATCGATTTGATCAACTTTAACCTTATTCCAATTTAACCCTTAACTTCGACTAACATCGTCATTTTGAGGTAGGCAGTGTTTCGAACCCTAAATATGCATCTGTTAGGAATTGTTTATACACCTAAGCTAAGTGGATAGTATCAACTTACAAGCGACCAGACATGCTTTTGCGCTAAACAGTAATTCAAACTTATCTACTGTAGTGAAAACTTCTTTTGAACTAAATATAAGAAATAAAATGCAATTTGTAGATACACAACCCATTAGTTTGAAGATGGTTTGGTGTTCTCTAAGCTTTGGTAATTTGCCGAAGCTACTCAAACAACAACGAACTACAATCATCTTCATCCTGAGCTAGAAATCATTTCACACATTATGGTAATGATAGATAATGTCAGCAGTGGAATCCAGGACATGCGTTTCGTCCTATTTAGGACTCGTCAGCTGAATGTATCTGCCTCCCAGTGATCCACATGGTCCGCACTAAAACTCGAACTCGGCGCCAGCCACTCCAAACGCCAGAGCATTATCCACTAGGCCACGAAGTCACGACAGTCATTTCTTGTGCGACGAGTATAGTTCGTTTATTGTTCCTTTAACCATACTGTCGTCGTTGAGTGGACCGAATTGATCGGTCTCTATCGGAATATAGGCTCCTGCATGGATGCCTTGATACTGTCTGTGTTACGATACAAGTAGTAACATATTTCAAATATTAGTTTACAATTATGGACTGTTTAAATCACCGATGATGATGATAGAAATTCACCAAAGATCATTTGTAAAATCCAGTAAATTCAGCGAAATCAGGAAAAAAACTATTTATTACTGTCAAATAATGTTTAATATCTTGAAATTAGTGTAAGCAAGAGCACCCGGGTTGCTTTTTTTGGAAGTAGTTTCTATATTTCACTTTCGAATTTACAAGTTTCATCAGGATATAAATTAAGGACCATTTGAAGTATTTGCTGCGATAGAATACTCAAAATCCAAATGATCTTAGCAACTTTGTTCACATTCGTGAAGTATACAGTAAGCCAGACGTATTGTGAAAGGATAAACTCTCCCATCCAGCTTCGGTTTCCTTCTCTATTTTTCCCAGGGTGCAGTTGGTCGCTTGGTTTTTGCGTACAAAGTTAGCTGTCAGTTAAGCGTGAGTATTATATCCAGTCGGAATATATAACACTGACAAAGATGTATGTAACCACTCGATATGTATTTGTTTCCAAGTTTGAAGTATCAAATTTTAAGGTAAAGCTTGACGAGACTTTAAAAGAAAATACGTATTATAGAATGATCAATTTGCAAATGATTTACAAATTGTACAATCCATATTCACATTTCTTACAGCTGAGTAGTTTGTTTCAATTGCCTAAGCCAACAAGGTTTCGACTAAAAACTAATCAGCCAAGATCATAAGGTGTATGTGTGATCTCTGACAAGGCTGTAGATTCCCCCAGCCAGCCAGCCAGCCAGCCAGATCAGAATGATCTCAACACAAAATTTTCGCCTTTTCAATACTACCATAAAAATTCGTATGAAGATAGAGAGAAATGACTAGTCTGGAGATGGACCAATCAAAATGTACTGAATGTCATCACTCCATAGTTAGACAGACAGACATATGGTGGATCAACCAATCAGTGAACTACCTATCATATTAGCTGTATTTTCATTTGCCATTGGGTCTTTCAATACCCAATAAGCATTTCTAAACATCTATTGTGTCGTCTCGGATAATGGAGTCGGGTTGAGAATCAACTAGGAATTTGTTAAATGATGGTGGTTGACACTCGACATCCGTGCATAGTTAGCAGCCATAGCAGCATAACACTTTTTGAATCACATAATAAAAATACATAGCAATCTGAATTGAATTTAAAATGAATTACTTGATTATTGGAAAGTAATGTGTAAGCCATGCCTTTTTTGCCTGCTCTTGCTGTACGACCAATTCGATGTATATACGTTTTTATACTAGGCGGTACATCATAGGATACCACACATTCAACATCTTCAATATCCATACCACGAGCCATAGCATCGGTACAAACTAGAATCTAAAATTACAATGGAAAAAATACACAACAGATAGATGATAATTTATATCATCCACATAGGTAATCGGTTACATAACAAAACAATTAAAATCCTTATTCATCTCAAAAATACATTACTGTATAGTCCTTATTAGTGACTTGCTTCCAGATGGATATCACGAAGTTCTAATGAAAAACTGTGACCTGTAGAGTCAACCAGTCGGAAGGGAGGCAGATGCCATCTGAAGACCTTGAGTGATGATCGCGCTATATCGTGAATTGACAGAAGTGGGAAACTGTGAACCACTGAACTCTGACTCAGTGGTTGAATGGTTAACGAGTTCCTCGTGAAACGTGAACGTCCTGAGTTCAAACCCCTAGCCAGGTTGTGGGTGCATACTGCTGAGGAGTCCTATGATAGGACGAAATGGCTGTCCAGTGCTCCCAGGTTCTTAATGGTTCCCCAACTGATGTCAGTCCATGATGAATACTATCTCCAAATTAGTTCCCTTAATAAACTTCGACAAAATAATAAGACGTGAATTGTCTGAACCGCGTAATGTATTTGCGTAACACATTTCGAACTATCTGATCACACACGTACTCGTTATAGTTATTTATATGAAAAGTCATGATGACAAAGGGTGAGAAAATGAGAAGAGGTCAATTAGGTAGGCTGAAGTTAAAAGCCGAATAACAATGAAAATCAATAGAACGAAAATAATAATACATCGAAAATGATTTTCATACTGGATAATGATTGAAGGTGAAATGAAATATTGTCACATCCCACTGAATCTACCAATTCAAATATACTCGTATGGTGACACATATATAGGAAGGATTCATAGGTTCATGCAAGTAAGGGCCTCAGAACTTATTCCAAAGTGGCTTCAAAAACAATTTGAATCCTGTGAACCCATAAACCTTGGTAACACATGCCCAAGTTCTTCGATTGTGAACCATATCATTGAGATAGATCATAGGATTGATATGGCTACTTCGTTTACACATACTTACAAAACGTGTTGGGGATGGATCATTCAATTTGTTGAGGCCTTAGTTATTAGGAAGTTCAAACCACCTTAGTGTTTTCATAAGCCATTTGTTATCACACTAAATCTCCCCCTTAGTGAATTCATGTGTGAAAACAAAGTTCGATGTACTATTATTTCCGCTGTATTGATTTTCATTGTTATTCAGCTTTTAATTTCAGCCTTCCTACTTGACCTTCTTCATACTCTCACACCCTACCTTCATGAATTTTTATACAAATGTTAATGATAGATTGTGGCTAGCAGTGGAGTCTAGAATGCGCATTTCGTCCTATTTGGGACTCGTCAGCTGGATGTACTTGCTTCCCAGTAAGTTATGTTTTTCCCATCGGCATGCGAACTCAGGGCCAATCGCTTCAAATGCTAGGGCGTTATTCACTAAACCACCGAGCCACTTCTTTCATTGCTTGTATTAAACCGTCCAAGGTACATCCAGCTGATGAGTGAATCTGAAATAAAACGAAATACGCATCCTGGATTCCACTGCTAGCCACTATCCATCATTACTACATATAATTAAAGCAGATAATATCGAGGCATCCATGCAGGAGTCCATAGAGACCGATCAATTCTGTCCAATCAACGGTATAATGTAAGCAATAACACTAAATTACAGGTCTACCAATTAGTTTACTGATACATACCTATATTTTGAAGATGTTTTATGGTGTGAAGTACTTCATTATCAATCTAAAAAAACACCATGCACAGCACTAACACACTAAAGGTAAACAAAAATTTTCCCAGGAGGGGGAACAACATTTGAACACTGATATCTTTTAGTCTGGCTTCACCTACTTCAACAAACATTGTATGAAGAAACAGACGATTACTAGGCATGAGTAACTCAACTGGCAGCCACTTCAGTCAATACAGGCCATCGCCAACTTGCGCCATTTGTGGCGCAGTTAAGATATCTAATTGTCTATCATGGGTTGAGTGTGTGCTGTAGTCCCCTCTATTATAGTGCATGGCTGTGAAACATTGTCATTGAAGGTGGAAGACATGAGAAGGCTTCAGGTGTTTGACCACCATTGCCCAACTTCGTAGTATAGGCCATATTCCGTGGTGATACCACGTGAGTAACGCACAAGTAAGGTGTAGAGTTTTAGGGAGAAGAGGTAAATCAGTTGACGAGGTTATGAACTTTCATCGACTGAGATGGCTGGTTGGGACACGTGACGTATGCCTAGTCACCATGTGCTTCGTCACACAATGTTGGCCGAAATAGGTCCAGGCTCAAGGTGGTCAGGCTAAAACATGGCACCAATGTATGAAGTCTCTGACTGTTAGTTTGAGCCATGTAGGGTGATGCAGACTATCCGACTGGGGTTCACGGGACAACAGATACCAGTGGTTGGAGACTCTGGGTGATTGGCTCAGAACTGATATCTGTGGCGCAGATGTATACACACATTATCCTCATCTTAACTGCTATACTTAATCTCATCATCTCATTCTTCCTTCCTCTCTTACTACTTTCTACTTCTACTACCTTCGACCGATTTTTCTCTTCTTCTTCATCCTTATTTTATTGCCTTGTTACTTGATGCGTTGATATGAGGTGTGGCAACTTGGGTCGTTACGCAATAATGCATAGTCCTATGATAATCTTGATGATGATGACAGGTTCACAACCTCATAAAGCAACTTTCTTCTCATTGACAGAACTCTACACCTGACTTGGACGCCACTGATGAGGTGACACCATAACAAACGGCCTATGCTAGCAAGGTAACGATAGTTGAAGATCTGAAACCTTCTCATGTCCTCTGCCTTTAATCGCTGTCTTCCAAAACCATACAGCAGAACAGAGCGAACTGCAGTGCAACACACTCAACGCTTAACAAATAATCAGATATCACGGTAGCGCGATAAATGGAATAAACTGGCGACCAACGCACCAGAATTAATCCAACTTCCGAAGTAAGTGAAGTATTCAATGCACTCCGTCACTTTACACTCCAAGGTGTTAACCAGAGCGTCACAGAGGACCATTCTTGCAACAATAATTTGAATTTCGGTGGTAGTAGTGATGGTGAAAAGTGGGTCTTAAACTTTGGAAACTGTTGGTCTGAATTCAAATCCTCGTCAACTTTACTAACCGCTTCTTGTAAACGAATCATCAATTTTTCAACCAAACCTAAGCTAATATGAAGTAATTTAATCATTCATCAATAATTGTATGTTTACACTTACTTGACACATTCCATTACTGAATGAATTCAATATTCTTTGACGTTTATCTGGATGTAAATGACTTGATAAGAATTTACTGTGTATATCTTGAAAATTAGTTAAAAGCATATTTAAGCGTTTAGCACAATTTGTAGTATTTGTAAAGCAAAGAATACGCTTCTTATGCATTTGACGTATCAAGTGTACAAGAAATAATACACGAATATCTGGTTTTGTAGTAACTAAGAATTCCTAGAATACATGAAAGGGAATAAACAATAGAAAGACAAAAATGTTTTTTTTTTGTTTGTAAACAATATAGAATCAAATTCTACAATGTATAGCTCAATAAACTTATACAAATTTATATCTTAGACTATGAATCAGGCTGAATATGTGAAGAATAAGGATATTAACCACTTCACTGTGGTTGCATTGGGCTGCAAAATAATGGCAATGTAACGCAAACTGGTACACGTTTATGGACTGGATTATAAATTACACTTTTTGTGTGTGTGTGTGTGTGGGTTTATCCTACTGTCTAGTCACTATGGCTGAAGTTGTTGGGGCACGGTTCGAGACCAGAACAATTGGTTAAAAGATGAGCTGTTAAGTTGATGAGCTACATTAGGCAAATTATATTTGCATAAGCTCTGCCATTCTTAGGGTGAATCCAGAACGTGAGTTTCCTCCTATTTGGGACTCGTCAGCTGGATGCACATGCATCCGAGTGGAGTGACGTAGTTCTCACCGAGGCTCAAACCTAGTACCCTTCACAGCGTTATCCACCAAGCCATTGAGGCACGATAGTCACCTCTAGTAAAACGGGTGTCAGCTTTTGTGATGATACCTGTAATTTCCTGTTTCTATACAGGGCTGCATTGCTCAATCTCTGTCGGCAGATGGGCTGCAATGCGGATACCTCGATACTGCAGAATATTCATGAGGTTATAAGACATAAAGACAAATCCCCGTAGAACTTCGCACAGGAGTGCATCACTTGAAGTTGCTGCACTTCACAGTAGTAGGTAAACAAGAAGGCTACAGGAAAAGTAATTATAAAGCAGACAGATATGTATGTCAGAAACTATAAAAAGATGAAGGTTAACAAAGTTTCCGAAACTTTGAAGATGATAAACGGTTGATACATCTGAACTGTTGTGCCTGACTTTTGGTCTGTTACCAAGATCCTCGAAAGAATAATTCTTATTGTCTTCATGGCCACAGTAAGGTAGTCTACATCTTATGATAGCGTTTGGATCAATAACCTGGAAACTTGGTTTGATCACATTCAGCCTTCTTGAAAAACAATCCGATTCCAGTTAATAGTACACGAAGATGTGAACAGTGGTTTGGCATGCGCAACATAGGTTAAACCCACTTTAGTCGATAAAGGTTCACAGAATCATCGATTAATTTACCTTCCTTGTCAAATATCCTTCGCCTAACTTCGACATTGCTAAAATAGTCCAATGTTTTTAGGTTCATAGTCATCCGACGCCTGACTGCAGCTCGAGAAAACCAGGCAGACTTCAAGTCTGGGAGATATTCACTCTCCAGGCATATCTACCAGGGGCCAAGACTTGCCATATTTTATGATTTGAAGGCACCATTCAACTGTTTCAACAGTGAGATATTGTGGCAGTATCTGACTGTGAAGGGAGTACCGAGAAAGTACATGACTCTAATCAAAGCTCTCCACTGAAACTCACACAGCCGTGCCAGGGCTTATGTAGAGTTGTCATCAGAATTGACAACAACTAGCGGTGTTCGTCAGAGATGCTCACTGTCATTGTTCTTATTTAACTTCGTTATAGACGTACGTTTGACCTCACAGAGGTTGACCTACACCTTAGAGGGCATCTAGTTGATTCTGAGTATGCAGACGATGTTGTCCTGTCAGGTGAAGAGGCTGACACAATACACGGTCAAGTGGACGCGCTGAGCGGAAATCGAAGTACGTTTGGCATTGGTTTCACTAGCACTTGTCAAATGTAAGATAATGCTCTAGGACTGGTGGTCAGCTGTAAGTACTTCCAGTTTCCTGATACGGAGCGAAGTGGTTGAATGCATCGACATCTTTCACTTACTTGTTAGGTTCCATCAACCCAAACAAATACACAACGCCTACTGACTGGCGAAATATCCGACTACCAGTTAAAAGACAAGCATACTGCTCTACAATCATTTGTGTTGTACGGTTGTGAGAAATGGTCCTTAAAATTACTAGATATCAAGAGATTACAGATTTTTGAACACAGTTGTATTCATAGCCAAACTGATTCCTTTATGGTTATCAAAAAAAACACTTCCCTACTTTCTTATAAACTGGAATGATCAGTAATCTACACTAGTCTGATGGAACTACAGCTGGTTATTATACACCAACTAGTGTCTCCGTGACTCTTTTTTCACTTGGGTTCCAAGTGGAACATAGGGCTTCAGTAGCACATCTAAATTCCGCTCTCTTCTCTGCAGACTTTTGAACCAGGCTCCACCACTGCCCACAAACTTTCGTTTATTCCTCACACCATCTCTTCCATATCACCTTCACATGCACAACTCGTCGTTTCCCACGAGTGTTCCACTCGACAGCCTGCACTGGCACGTAATGTCCCCAAATCGTCTTCTCAATATATGCAAAATCCATCTCCAGTTTCTTCTCATGCATATTTCTTGGGCGACCGCTTGTTGCTTCCTTTGTTCCCAGAGTTCCATGTTGCTTATTCTCTCCGGTCACCTGACCTCTAGTATCTAGCGTGGACAGCTGTTGATGTATGTCTCTAATTTGTTGGAAACGTTCTTCGCAACGCGCCAACTCTATGAACAATCACATAGAACTACTAACTTACTTAACTGACATTAGTGTTGAAAATCCAGATCTTGTTCACTCTCTATGCTGAGTGCAGTAGATCTTCACAATGATTTCAGGTCAATCAAGGAAGGCCTGTCTTGCTGTCTTTCCGATCCTGGTTTTGACATCGTCATCTGTGCCTGTACCACCTACAGTTGAAACAACGCTGTCTTGACTAGGTAGATAACTGAAAGAGACTACTTCCTTTAGGTTCCTACAGTTCACGGTGATTGGTGCTTGGTGTCCATCCTCTTGTTAGTTGGGTATCTTCATTATCTCTGTCTTCTCTACATTCACCTGAAGGAAGTCCCGTCTTCGCTGCCTCGCCTCACCTCACCTCGACTCTTCTGTCAACTTGTTCCTTTTGCCTGTAGATAGATCTTCCACTTTGTACCACAAGACATCAGGCGTAAATCATCTGCAAAATACAAACCTTCCAGACTCTTTTCATTGGTAAAGCCAGCGTATACTCATCTTTTCGCTCCTCATGGTTTGCTGCATGATCCAGTAGACCACAATCACGGAAATCACCGGTCATAGTAGACGCCAGCTTTGTCTTACTCCTGTCCTCACTTCAAACGCATCACTGCGAATTCAATATGAAAAGTTCAACAAATTTATGCAGTTTCGTTCAAAAGACGATTAAGTAGCCAGTTTATAAAATTACCATGAACTGAAACTCGTTGAAAGACACCCTATACAGGTGTTCTATCTCAAACTGATATGGTTTCGGTAAACACTTCTTAATGTTGCATAGATTAATCGGAAGTGAAAATCAACTATTTAGCTTTACGGTATCCTTTTCAACTTTAGGAGTTAATATTGTTATGAGGCATTACAAAGAACCATGAAGTTCTTTTATATATAAAAAATTTAATTTTCTTGGCATTAAAAGTCAAGTAATAAAGAGATTGGTGAAATCAACCGTTAAAGAGAAGAAAAGACATATAGATTGATCAGTACCTTCAATATAATAGTTTTTGTACCGTCAGCTATAAATATGGTTTAGTTAGGATGCTATTCACTAGAATAAAAATCCTATGCTATAAAGACTGAACAAGAAGAAGAATTTGGGATAATTGAGAAGGCTCTTGTAGAGAATGGATATCTGAAGAAATTTATCACGAAGCAAGAAAAAAAATTTATTGAGAGACCAAAACATCTAACTGTTGAGAAGAAGCCGGTTTTCTTTCGTCTAGCACTCAAAGGTGATAAGACATCTGAAAGAATAGACAAAAGAATAAAAGCTACACTGAGAAGGAGCTTCCCTACCGCCAGACTGATCTCAATTTACAATACATTATACTCGATAACACAGTGGAAAGTACATAAATACCCATCTCATGTCACCAACTGTGCTTGTGAAAGCAAGTACAAAGGATGGACTGTAAGAAAGGCATCTACTCGATTTTATGAGTATATTACGAGAAATTTATGTCTGAATATTAATTAATCACTTAACGATTTTCGAGTTTTTCATGTAATTACGTAACCTATTAACTCTTAAACAGTCCCTTTTTTTACACTGATTTTCGTTTGTTGCCCCCCACCACCATCACCACTCCACAGCTCCAGAATTTCCCAACTCATTAGATATAAATAGCCACTGATTTTGACTAAGATATGTAACTATTAATCTTATCTTCCCTTGACTCACTCATTACCTTATTGTTAATCGCGGATTTTAAATCTCCATTTATTTTTGCTTGTTGGAAGTATAGTAAACATGGATAGTAGCTAGCAGTGGAATCCAGGATGCACACTTCGTCCTATTTGGGACTCGTCAGCCAGATGTACCTGCAGCCCAGTGAGTGATGTCGTTCCCACCGGGATTAGGACTCGGAGTGACCGCTTCAAACGCCAGAATGTTATCCACTACACCACCCTGAGCCATGATAGCCAATAGAGACCTATCAATTCGGTCCAATCAATGACGGCTATTTAATAATCCCTTCTTTTACACTGATTTTTGTTTGTTGTCCCCCGCCACTCCACAGCTCAAGAATTTCTCATTTCATCAGATATAAATTGCCTTTGACTTCGACTAAGATTTTTAACCATTAGTCCTGTCTTTCATTGACTTATTACTTCATTGTTAATCCTGAACTTCAAATCTCTATTTATTTCTGCTTGTTTAAAGTATGTTATGTTATTATTACTACTACTACTACCAATTCTTCATTTCAATTGTAGGCTGTTTACAGCTGATAAAAGGTGATGAAATAAAACGGAGTCATTTTATTTCAAGTTGTTATTCATCGAAGACTGACATCAGTTGGAGGAACAAAGGAAACCTGGGAGCACTGGACAGCTGTTTTGTCCGACTAGTATGGGACTCCTCAGCAGTGCGCACCCACAACCCCACCAGCAGGGATCGAACCCGCGAGTCATTTTATTCTACAAATGTCGTTGTTCTTATACTGTTGAAATTTCTAAAGGGTACTAAATAACATAGTAAATTTTTATTTAGCTTTTTTTTCTTCTTGAATAAAATTTACCTGTAAATTTTGAGGGGTAAAAAACTCTCCAACACCAACACCACCAGAAGTAGTAGTAATTGTTGTTGTGGCAGGTGTAGAACTCTCATTCTTTTTTAACTGAATATTATCGATTGTTTTTTCAACATCATTTTTCTTTATTCGTTCCTTTGCTTTAGAAGTATTTGTTGTTGTTGTCGTTGTCGTGGTGGTGTTCGTAAGCATTTTGTTTTCAACAATTGGGTAGGTTTGATCTGAGGTGAATAGAATTGGAAAGTATAGACTGAACTGTTTCAATGGCTCAGGATCATGAGTAAGTGTGGCTGAAACAAGTATCTAGAATTACAGATAGACAGAGAGAGAAATAAACAAACTATGCGGAGAACAAATTGAATAAAATATAAACAAATTAATGATAGATAGTGGAATCCATGACCCATGTTTCATCCTATTTGAGATTCTTCAGTTGGATATACCTGCGTTCTAGTGAGTAATGTAATTCCCCGTAGGACTCGAACACGGGACAATACAAGCAACAATATAATTATTTGTTAAGATTAAATGTAAGAAAGTATAATGATTTGGTAGGATTACATGACTCGGCTTAAACATATTACTTCTAGATCAACACACTATAAAGCTTAGTTATCGAACATACTTCAGTTTTCGGTATAATATCCAGAGGATTTTCAACAGTATATATCTGTTCTCATTTCAATCTAAATTAATGCATTAGTCCTCATCAATAACTAAATGAACTCAGCTGAATGCACTGATCAATTCGGTCCAATCAATGACAGGACAATAGGAGTACCAACATTTAAAAAGATAACTATACCCGTCGCACAAAGAGTGGCCATCTTGACTCAGCGGTCTCTGACATTTGAACCGGGCGGTGCCAGGTTCGAGTCTTAGTGGGAAGAATATCGTTCACTGGGAAGCAGGTACATTCAGCTGACGAGTTCCACCCAAACAAGACGAAGTGCCAGTCCTGGATTCCAATGCTAACCACTATCCATCATTAACATAAAATTGAAATGACAAGCAATATCGAAGCATTCGCGAAGGAGCCAGTAGCGAACGATCAATTCGGTCCAATCAACGATGGGATAGTACAAGCAATAATAATCTCGGTTTTCTAGCTCTATTATAAAAACGTTTGAATAAACCTGTCTAATGAGATAACCTGAAGTCTAGATACCTGTTAGAATGCATTGATTTCCTATATACGGTAGGATGTAACCCACCGTCTGCCCTTCCTTTTATCCCACAATGAAAGATAGATAATTCTCCTTGTTTATTTTCTACCTCGTAATTGAATTGGATTGCGTCTACTATTGAGTTCATATTTGTGAAGAAACTGTCAAGGCAATCGCAGGAAGTTGTGGACTTAGGTTTCCTGCTTGCTGGCACTCGTCAGCAAGGTGCATCTGCAATCTCGACGGAACTGATGTCCCGCCTGAGATTCGAACCCGCATCACCAAGTGTTGTAGTCAGCGACTTTATCATTGAGCTATTCGGGACGCCATTGACCTCCTGTATGACTGGGTACATGTACTGACTAGTCACGGGAGTGCAACCAGATTCATGTCCCTTGCAAATATCATCGATAGGATTCAGTCTCTACTCAGGACTAGACAACATGAAACTAGTTGCACTGCCGTAATCAATCAATACAAACTGTCAATATGTTCCGATTTTAACACCGTGAATGTCTCATCCACTATATACTTAGTCCAGGATTAAACGTTCGAAAAGTCATATTTTCCTAACAATCCATAAATATATCTGCTACGATTGAGGATATTAGTGTGATGTTATTGTTACTCCTTCTGTTTGTCTCTATATTTTGTCCTGAAAGTTGAAGACACACCTGTACGCCTAATACAGTTTCATCAATTGTATCTTAGTTCTATGAGTAAGTTGTGAGTCAGTATTTAGTTGATTTCTGATTGCCTCCAGTAACATATTGATTGATATTTCAATATAAAGGCTTGTTACATCAAAATTAATAAATTTTTTTTCATTGCCTTCTATATTCACGTCACTAGAGCTTAGTTTCAACTCATAAGAATTGATATATTGAAGTATTTCTGAAGTCAACCATCAGTTTAATAGGATAACCTGGTTTATTTACCTTAATAGTATCGTAAATTCTAATGGGATTATTAGTTTTATGCATTAAATTAAGCCAATAAGGCTCACACAGAAATGGTCTCACTTAGTAGGTGTATGAAGAAGTTGGCTGTAGATTTCCTAGTGTCTTTTCATATCCAAACGGGACTGTATATATGGAGATTAGATTTATCTGTCTTATTGAACTGAATTCTCACAGAATCATACTATTTCTCAATAGATTTTCAATGGTGAAATGAGTCATTTATTAATTGACCCAAAATACTACTACTATGTAAAACTTTGCACTCATAGGCTATGCAAAGATTGAGCATAGAACATTTAGGCTTCACAGACAGCTAAGTTAATATTCGGTAAGTTTAGTATAATACTTGATAGTATCCTAGTAGTTTATCACGAAATAATACTTTATCTGTTGTTTCATTAGCTTTGCAAAGTAGCATTGAAATCTAGGATACAAGTTACTTCTTATATGGGACTCGTCAGCCGTATGTTGTATTAGCCAAAAAGTACTATAGTGCTGTATTGCAACGCCAGTAAAAATTGAGGATCGTAATACAATCACCAAGGCACCGGTAACTTAAACACGAACACGGAAGAGAGAGAATAAAAAACCTTGGTTAAAATCCTAGTTTTTTACTGTATCAGCAAAAAAAAAAGTCAGAAACTTTCACTTAGTAGGCACTTCTCATGGTGAACTATTCAATCACATGCAGATTTAGTCAATAGGTAACGAGTCTCACCTATTGTGTAAGCATTGGTGATAGTACCCGGTTGCCTAGATAAAGATTAACGGGATGGAGTTCGAACTCATGACCGTGTGATTAAACCACTTTACTACTTATGCTAGGACGGTTACAATCTCAATTTTGACAATAAAGCATGACAACTATTCATTGTTTCTACTTTCCTAACAAATAAATAACCTATATAACCTTGAATCGTTTAAAACATACTACTCAGGTGAGAAAAATTCTAGAAATCTCTTACAGAGTCGAATGGTAAGACAGACATTCATTGATGACATTTGACAATGATTGTGTTATCTCAGGAAATTCACCGAAGGGGGGACATTAGCTACTCACTATAAATTTCTGAATATTGTCAACTTGACCTATTGAAAAGGAAAGTCTAAGGAGAAGATTGGTAAAAGGCCTAGAAGTAGACAGAAAAGTGTTCATGGGTGCTAAACAGTAATCACCCGGTCCCCGTCCCTCCCTCGCACCCCTATCCCTAAACGATAGTAGTCTTAAACTATGTGAAATTACACTGAAATCAATAATTTATAAGTAATATTAATGATTGTATTATATTGTCGTTGATTGGACAGAAGTGATCGGTCTCTATGGGCATATGGACTCCTGAACAGATGCCTCGATATTACCTGCTTTAATTATGCGTAGTAATGATGGATAGTGGTTAGCAGTGGAATCCAGGATGCGTATTTCGTTTTACTTCAGATTCACTCATCAGCTGGATGTACCTGGGACGGTTTAATACAAGCAGTGCAAGTAATACACAAGAAGTGGGTATCATGGCTCGATAGTCTAGTGGATAACGCTCTGGCGTTTGAAGCGATCGGTCCTGAGTTCGAATCCTGGTGGAAACAACACTCACTGGGAGGCAGGTTCCTTCAGCTGACGAGTCTCAAATAGGAAGAAGTGCATATGTTCTGGATTCTACTACTAGCCACTATCCATCACTACAATTCACAAGTAAGCCTGATATGTTTACAAGTAAAAAATACACACTAACCTTTTGCAAAGTAACATCACCACTCCTATCATAATGATAACCAATAGTTGGTAGTGGTCTACACCGTTTACGCGTAGTAACAGTGGACCAATTACTTTGATTAGTAGATGAAGTATAATAATACAAAACATCTTCTAAAGTACGATACCAATTTTGTTTCTCCTCAACAATCACTCTGTCAGCTTCATCAATAACCTAAAAATATAATTAACAATAATTGTAATAGTAGTAATAATAATAGTAATATTGGCACAGATGAAGAACAAGGTACTGTTAGTGATAAAAAAAGAAGATAGTATAATGATTACTTGTTGACTAACCCAGTGAGTAAGATGCCTTAGAACCTTATAGACTACTCTATATAGAGTTCAGTGTGTTAGACTTTTATCTGTAGGTTTGTGAAGGTTTTTATTCATTGATTCTAGGTTGGAATTCATCATGAACTGATATCAATTGAAGGGATATTGGAAACCTCAAAGCACTTAGGAGAAGCTGTTTCTTCCTAGTATGGGACTCCTCAGTAGTTCGCATCCACGACCCCACCAGGAGTCGAACCGAGGACCTTCAGGTTCCGTGGCCAGCATGTTAAGACTAGGTCGGTTTCCAATGGTCCATATTTTTTACTGCTGTCACTTCATAATATACCGTGACCTACATTCAATGTCATCGTTGAGTAACTGTCCTCAGGTTATGCTTCTACATAAAACAGTAACTTAACATTACTAATAACTGCAGATCAGTCATGCGGTACAGGGCTTCTTTGTACTAAGCTATGAGTGATGTATACGGTATAGCGGTTAATGAAACCACCGGATTACCTAGGTTGAAGCAAGATATGAGTCCTCTACCTAAGGTTGGCTTGCAGGTCAAAAGCTGTGGTTAGTGAGCCACAACTATCACAGATAATAAAAGGATAAAAGACAATGAGTAGAAAAGTGATCTGTGCATGAACTTGTCACTACCAGTGGATAATTGATGTAGCTATCTAGTTCTATAGTGCTTAGAGCATTGGTCGACGTCTGATCAATCGAGTTTTACAATATGTTCACCAACGAAGTGTTAGATTATGAGAATCGATCAGGAGGGAGCTCTGAACCTAGGTTTCATACTTGTTGGCACTCATCAGGAGTATCTGCAACCTCGAGTGAGCTGACGTTTCTTGTGAGATCTAAATCTACGTCTACTAGCGTTGCAGTTAGCGACGTTATCACTGAGCTATTCGGACTACGACTGACCTTTTAAATCAGATACATTAATGGGTCATTGCCTCGCCTAGTTAACTAGTTACTAAACGATCCTAAGTCCGCATAAAGAGGGAAGGTTGGCCATAGGGCTAGCAACCCTACTCCGGAAAACCAATCCAATCGCTAAACAAACTTCGAGGCACAAAAAAATTGAAAAAAAGTAAAGACAAACTTATTCCCCACTGGAATCGGAGAGACGAAACGACACCAGTTGGTGAAAGCCTTCGGAAAGCCAACTGGCCAATGTGTCCACTAGGACAAATAATAACAATAATGGGTCACTGCAGAGTAACCAATTTCATGTTGTCTAGCCCTGAATGCTGACCGGATTCTATTGTTCATTTCGCAATATGTTCACCAGAAGGGGTAAAACTTCCCTCAAGGTTGCAGATACGCTCAGCTGACGAGTGCTAAAAAGCAGTTAATCTAAATCCACGACTCCCTGCAGACTATCTTCATCTAACTAGGCGTCTGTCAGTATACACCATGATGGTGAGTCTCTTAACTTGGTGGCTACATTGGAAAATAATCGATAGGATTGGGTCAGCACTCAGGAGTAGACAACATGAAATTGAATTTGGGGAATTTATGGGGATTTAGAGATATTTCAAGTTGGTATTCATCATGGACCGACATCAGTTGACGCATACCAAATTGAAAGATCCCTAAATCTCCACAAACCCCCGAAATTCACTTGAACCAGTGCCCATTGGTGACTAGCTTCGAGAGGTGGTTCCTGAAGTTCCAGTGAGAAGTTATGACGAGTGGGGCAAACCTGGTGGCCGTGAGGACAAATACTTAACGATGACATCGGGTGGCGGTCGCACTATATCGTAAACTGAAAGAAGTTGGAAATATGGACCACTGGATTCCGACCAAGTGGCTCAATGGTAACGCACTGGCCACGGAACCTGAAGTTCGCTGGTCCGACCCCTGGCAGGGTCATGGGTGCGCAATGATGAGCAGTCTCGTACTAGGACGAAACAGCTGTTCAGTGCTTCCAAGTTTCCATTGTTCCTTGAACTGATATCAGTCTACAATGAATACCAATGTATAAAGAGTACATTTATATGACATTGACGCGGATTTAGTTTTTTTTAATCTATAGTATTTCAACTGTTGTAATAATGACATTATTTGAATGATCGCGAAACTATTGCAGTACTAAGAACTAAAGATAGGTTAATATACGCATATATGTACATATAAACAAGGTGCTTTATCAAGAAATATCTCTTAGAATGTTTAAAAACTGACCAGCCAGTCCCTAGAGATAAAAGGATCATTCTACAGTTTATGAATAATAATTCAGATAAAACAAGCAAACTACTACGATCATTTGAGGTAGGCAAACCTTACAAAAGTGTTAGAAAGTAAACAGATGACGGTGAAGAATGAGAAAATATTGAAATTTATTATGACAACTAAGATGAGAATAATAAGTGGATATGTTTGCCCTACTGAGATAGATTCTGATTCATATTACCTAGAGTTTTTAACCAGTCTTTTGTTGTCATGTGAACTGCAAGCAGGAAGTTTAAATTTCCGTACATGGTTTAGCCTAAGTCACAGATTTCATGTACAGATGCGATGTTTTAATCTCATCACCCCTGAACCTACTTCAGCTAACATTCCGCGACAAGGCAGCCGTAACATATGTCTCAGCCATTTGAGTCGATAAAGGTTTACGATGTTGTCAACTAATTTTCCTCTCCTCTCTAAAATTCTACACCTGCATTCCACGGTATTGGTGACACCACTACACACGGCCTAATCCACGAAGGTAACGCTGGTCGAACACCTGAAGCTTTCTCATGTTCACAGTTATTCAGCAGAACAAATCGAACTGCACCGTAGTACATTTAACCCTTGACAGAAAGTCGTAAATTATTGATGGACGTCACACAGCAATAAAACATAACAAAATACAACAATTTACCTCATCATAAGACACAATTAAGCTGATAATATTTCAAAATCATGCAATGTAGTATGTAAACATTATTATTATTATTATTACTATTATTATTATTGTAATTTGTCTCTTGGGTTCCTAGTGGAACATAGGGCTTAGTAGCACATCTAAATTCCGCTCTCTTCTCTGCAGACTTTTGAACCAGGCTCCACCACTGCCCACAACCTTTCATTTATTCCTCACACACCATCTCCTCCAATATCACTTTCACATGCACAACTCGTCGTTTCCCCTTTGCATTCCACTCGACGGCCTGCACTGGCACGTAATGTCCCCAATCGGCCTTCTCAATCTATGCAAAATCCATCTCCAGTTTCTTCTTATGCATATTTCCTGGGCGACCGCTTGTTGCTTCCTTTGTTGCCAGATCACAGTTCCATGTTGCTTATTCTTTCCGGTCACCTGACCTCTACTATCTAGCGTGGACAGCTGTTGATGTATGTCTCTAATTTGTTGGAAATGTTCTTCATAACGCGCCAACTCTATGAACAATCACATAGAACTACTAACTTACTTAACTGACATCAGTGTTGAAAATCCAGATCTTGTTCACTCTCTATGCTGAGTGCAGTAGATCTTCACAATGATTTCAGGTCAATCAAGGAAGGCCTAACTTGCTGTCTTTACCATCCTGGTTTTGACATCATCATCTGTGCCTGTGCCACCTACAATTGAAACGACGCTGTCTTGACTAGGTAGATAACTGAAAGAGACTACTTCCTTTAGGTTCCTACAGTTCACAGTGATTGGTGCTTGGTGTCGATCCTCTTGTTAGTTGGGTATCTTCATTATCTTGTCTTCTCTACATTCACCTGAAGGAAGTCCCGTCTTCACTGCCTCGCCTCACCACACCTCGACTCTTCTGTCAACTTGTTCCTTTTGCCTGTAGATCTACCACTTTATACCACAAGATCTAAATCTACGTCTACTAGCGTTGCAGTTAGCGACGTTATCACTGAGCTATTCGGACTACGACTGACCTTTTAAATCAGATACATTAATGGGTCATTGCCTCGCCTAGTTAACTAGTTACTAAACGATCCTAAGTCCGCATAAAGAGGGAAGGTTGGCCATAGGGCTAGCAACCCTACTCCGGAAAACCAATCCAATCGCTAAACAAACTTCGAGGCACAAAAAAATTGAAAAAAAGTAAAGACAAACTTATTCCCCACTGGAATCGGAGAGACGAAACGACACCAGTTGGTGAAAGCCTTCGGAAAGCCAACTGGCCAATGTGTCCACTAGGACAAATAATAACAATAATGGGTCACTGCAGAGTAACCAATTTCATGTTGTCTAGCCCTGAATGCTGACCGGATTCTATTGTTCATTTCGCAATATGTTCACCAGAAGGGGTAAAACTTCCCTCAAGGTTGCAGATACGCTCAGCTGACGAGTGCTAAAAAGCAGTTAATCTAAATCCACGACTCCCTGCAGACTATCTTCATCTAACTAGGCGTCTGTCAGTATACACCATGATGGTGAGTCTCTTAACTTGGTGGCTACATTGGAAAATAATCGATAGGATTGGGTCAGCACTCAGGAGTAGACAACATGAAATTGAATTTGGGGAATTTATGGGGATTTAGAGATATTTCAAGTTGGTATTCATCATGGACCGACATCAGTTGACGCATACCAAATTGAAAGATCCCTAAATCTCCAAAAACCCCGAAATTCACTTGAACCAGTGCCCATTGGTGACTAGCTTCGAGAGGTGGTTCCTGAAGTTCCAATGAGAAGTTATGACGAGTGGGGCAAACCTGGTGGCCGTGAGGACAAATACTTAACGATGACATCGGGTGGCGGTCGCACTATATCGTAAACTGAAAGAAGTTGGAAATATGGACCACTGGATTCCGACCAAGTGGCTCAATGGTAACGCACTGGCCACGGAACCTGAAGTTCGCTGGTCCGACCCCTGGCAGGGTCATGGGTGCGCAATGATGAGCAGTCTCGTACTAGGACGAAACAGCTGTTCAGTGCTTCCAAGTTTCCATTGTTCCTTGAACTGATATCAGTCTACAATGAATACCAATGTATAAAGAGTACATTTATATGACATTGACGCGGATTTAGTTTTTTTTAATCTATAGTATTTCAACTGTTGTAATAATGACATTATTTGAATGATCGCGAAACTATTGCAGTACTAAGAACTAAAGATAGGTTAATATACGCATATATGTACATATAAACAAGGTGCTTTATCAGAAATATCTCTTAGAATGTTTAAAAACTGACCAGCCAGTCCCTAGAGATAAAAGGATCATTCTACAGTTTATGAATAATAATTCAGATAAAACAAGCAAACTACTACGATCATTTGAGGTAGGCAAACCTTACAAAAGTGTTACAAAGTAAACAGATGACGGTGAAGAATGAGAAAATATTGAAATTTATTATGACAACTAAGATGAGAATAATAAGTGGATATGTTTGCCCTACTGAGATAGATTCTGATTCATATTACCTAGAGTTTTTAACCAGTCTTTTGTTGTCATGTGAACTGCAAGCAGGAAGTTTAAATTTCCGTACATGGTTTAGCCTAAGTCACAGATTTCATGTACAGATGCGATGTTTTAATCTCATCACCCCTGAACCTACTTCAGCTAACATTCCGCGACAAGGCAGCCGTAACATATGTCTCAGCCATTTGAGTCGATAAAGGTTTACGATGTTGTCAACTAATTTTCCTCTCCTCTCTAAAATTCTACACCTGCATTCCACGGTATTGGTGACACCACTACACACGGCCTAATCCACGAAGGTAACGCTGGTCGAACACCTGAAGCTTTCTCATGTTCACAGTTATTCAGCAGAACAAATCGAACTGCACCGTAGTACATTTAACCCTTGACAGAAAGTCGTAAATTATTGATGGACGTCACACAGCAATAAAACATAACAAAATACAACAATTTACCTCATCATAAGACACAATTAAGCTGATAATATTTCAAAATCATGCAATGTAGTATGTAAACATTATTATTATTATTATTACTATTATTATTATTGTAATTTGTCTCTTGGGTTCCTAGTGGAACATAGGGCTTTAGTAGCACATCTAAATTCCGCTCTCTTCTCTGCAGACTTTTGAACCAGGCTCCACCACTGCCCACAACCTTTCATTTATTCCTCACACACCATCTCCTCCAATATCACTTTCACATGCACAACTCGTCGTTTCCCCTTTGCATTCCACTCGACGGCCTGCACTGGCACGTAATGTCCCCAATCGGCCTTCTCAATCTATGCAAAATCCATCTCCAGTTTCTTCTTATGCATATTTCCTGGGCGACCGCTTGTTGCTTCCTTTGTTGCCAGATCACAGTTCCATGTTGCTTATTCTTTCCGGTCACCTGACCTCTACTATCTAGCGTGGACAGCTGTTGATGTATGTCTCTAATTTGTTGGAAATGTTCTTCATAACGCGCCAACTCTATGAACAATCACATAGAACTACTAACTTACTTAACTGACATCAGTGTTGAAAATCCAGATCTTGTTCACTCTCTATGCTGAGTGCAGTAGATCTTCACAATGATTTCAGGTCAATCAAGGAAGGCCTAACTTGCTGTCTTTACCATCCTGGTTTTGACATCATCATCTGTGCCTGTGCCACCTACAATTGAAACGACGCTGTCTTGACTAGGTAGATAACTGAAAGAGACTACTTCCTTTAGGTTCCTACAGTTCACAGTGATTGGTGCTTGGTGTCGATCCTCTTGTTAGTTGGGTATCTTCATTATCTCTGTCTTCTCTACATTCACCTGAAGGAAGTCCCGTCTTCACTGCCTCGCCTCACCACACCTCGACTCTTCTGTCAACTTGTTCCTTTTGCCTGTAGATCTACCACTTTATACCACAAGACATTAGACATAAATCATCTGCAAAATCCAAACCTTCCAGATTCTTTTCATTGGTAAAGACAGCGTATACTCATCTTCTCGCTCCTCACGGTTTGCTGCATGATCCAGTAGACTACAATCACGAAGATCATCGGTCATAGTAGACGCCAGCTTTGTCTTACTCCTGTCCTCACTTCAAACGTATCACTATGCTTTCCACTGTCAATCGCTCGGCATGTGGTGTCGTCATATAGTTGTTGAATGAGGTTGATAAACATTTGTGGTACTCCATAGTGTTCAAGCAGTTTTCAAATTACTACCCAGTCGACGACTTGATCGAAGGCCTTTTCAAAATCGATGAAGTTGAGGTAGAGAGTTGACTACGATTGTACGCTCTGTTTCATGGTGATGCATAGTGTAGGGTTGCAATTTGATGTGCACATGATTTGTTCTTCCTGAAGGCAGTCAGCCTGTTCCGGCCGTAATTTTGAATTCGAGCATATTTTAGTGTCTCCAGGATGATGACGCTTAATATTTTGCTTGGTGTGGACAGGAGCATGATTCCGTTCCAGTTCTTGTAAAGACTTAGGTCTCCGTTCTTTGGAAGTTTAATAAGGTAGCCGTTTTTCCAATCATCGGGCTGGTACTCTTCCTTTCTTCCAAACTTTCTGCAATGATGGTACTTAGACTGGTGAAAGATAATTTCTAGAACCATAGCAATCAGTTGGAGCCATCACGAATAAGTTCATAAAACGCAATCTGAACGACAGTAACTTTGAAGAGGATGATACTTGTAATTCCCCGTTGCTATAGAGGGTCAAATTGCCCAACCTTTGATTCTAGGTACATCCAGCTGACAAGTCCCAAGTAGGACGAAACGCTCGTCTACCTAGATTCCTCTACTAGTCACCGAGATCAATATAACTTTAGAAGAGAATCGCTGTTCACAATGAGTGAATAACATTGAATTAAAAAATGTACAAAATAAACGTATGATTTACACACATGTATAGTCATCATCTAATGACTAGATTACAGGTTAAAAGGCTAACTCTGGCTAAATGATGTTCTCGAGGATTCTTTACACCTATTCTTGGAATATTTCCACTAACCTTCATCAATTCTTCAACTTTCCCTTCTTTGATATCAGTCTTTTTCTATTCAGTTGTTCTTTGCATGTTGTTGAAGTAGGGTAACTCTGATCGATGGACTTTCATCAAAGGCTTGACGTTGATTTCATCAATCTATCTACTACCGTCTTAAGACAACGTAAGTTTGAGTGATTATTTTACTCTATGTTACATTAACAGTTAAAAGTTTGGAGAGTCAACTTCTATTCCATCTACTTTCGCAGATTCCAAGCACTTGCATGCCATACCTTCGCATTTCTTTTGCAATCTGGGCAGCCTTGCTAGGTTTATACATGGTGCAGACATTCCATGTCCCTAACCTTACTTTCACTTTCATCGAGATAGAGAAGACACATCGGCCGACTGGCTTCCCCGAAGGCTTTCATCGATCGGTGTCATTTTGCCTCTCCGATTCCAGCGAGGTATAAGTTTGTTTTTATTTTTTATATTTTCTTTGTGCTTTGGATTGGTTTTATGGGGTAAGGTTACTAGCCCTACGCCCAACCTTCTCTCTTTACCCGGGCCACGTTATATTAACAGGTAGATACACATGAATTCAATAATTCAGTAATATTTACAACTAAGATAGTAATTGTAAGGATCTATGAACTAAACTACTAGTTACACCGATAGTAAGAGAGTTAAATATATTAATGCAGTTGATAAAACCCTATTACATTGGGTAAATCGGGACCTTATAGTTCAGAGTTGTATAATCAGATCAGTAGAGGTTACAACGATACATATTTACAAGAAGAAATAGTAGCTAAAACATAAAAGGAGATAAATCTTATTCATCAATTAAAACATACCAATATCCTTAAACGTTCCATACTGAAACCAGGTGTATTGTATAAATGATCCACTAAACGTCCAGGCGTAGCGACTACAATATCAACTTTAGCTGTATAACTTTCTGTTGTACTGTATGTATACATATAAAAAGTTATATGTGTATAGTCTAAGAATTATAGAACTTACGTGTCAATAATATCTTCTTGTTCTTTATTAAAGCTTTGAATACCAGCAAGTACACCAACCTATACACATTTATATATACATATACAAGTATATATATATATATATATATATATATATATATATATATATATATATATATATATACATCGCATTTCTCACCTTGATATCTGTTCCAAGAACAAGTTGACTAATTATTTTATACACTTGTACAGCTAAATCTCTCACTGGAACAATAATTAAAGCTCGAATACATCTATGCACTCTACTCATAAGTAGCTTAATTTGATAAAAGAAAAAAAAGAGGGATTGAAGATTACTTGAACAATTGGTATAGTATAGGCAAGTGTTTTTCCACTTCCAGTTGGTGCACAAATACATATATCTCTTGGACGACATAATGGTCGATATTTAGATGTAAAATAACAATCTAATATATATGGGATTAATGTAAATTGAACTGTTGAAAAGAAAAAAAAATGAATATTATTTAGTTAAAATTAAATAAAATTATACCAGGAAATAATTGAATAATACCCATTTCATTAAGACGTAATTTTAAAAATTCACTCATTTTTGATATTTTATCCATTGAATAAGATTGATTAAGATCAGCTGGAAATTTTATTGAATTTGATATCCAAAAGGGAAGAATTTCTTGGACCTATATAAACATATATAATGATGTTCACTAATCACTTACATTCAGTAGTCTTGGTTGAACTTTTTCAGTAATTACTGTAAATCCTCCGATTATACTGTCTGTTGTTACAGTATTGTAATTCTCAATAGCAGAAGACATGATTAGTAGATTGTAACACTAATCAAAATTTACAGCATAGATACAATCAACCTAAAAAAAATAGTAATAATAAGCATTAGAAAGCATTAATTACCAAATATCCATCCATTCAAATCAATATAAGATCAGGCATTACTGCGTAACGGTTCTAGTTGTCACAACTCATAACAGTACATCAAGCAACAAGGCAGTGAAGTGGAAGATGATGAAGGAAAGAAAATTTAGTCAAAAGAGAGAAAAGAAGAATGAGATGCTGACATTCAGCATAGCGTTGAGATGAAGATAGTGTGTATACATCGGTTCTCAACAATATCCCCTAGAGTCTCCAGCCACTGGTTCTTCTTCTCCCGAGGACCCCAACCACCCAGTCTGCATTGCCCACATGGCTCAAACCAACAGTCAAACACTTCATACATTGATGCTATGTTTTAGTGTGGCCACCTCGAGCCTTTTCCCAGCCTGAACTGTACTTCGGTCAACATTGTGTGATGAGGCAGACGGCGACTAAGCATACCTAACACATGTCCCAACCATCCATCTCAGTCGATGAAAGTTCACAACCATGTCAACTGACTTACCTCTTCTCCCTAAAACTCTAAACCTGACTTCTGCGTTACTCACATGGTGACAACACGGAATATGGCCTATATTACGAAGGCAACCGTGGTAAAACACCTGAAGCCACCTCATGTCTTCCAACTTCACTGGTCATGTTTTACAGCCACACAGTAAAACAGACCGGACTGCTGCGCAGTACACGTGACCCTTAGTAGACAATCGGATATCACGGAGGCGCAACAAGTGCCGTAAGTTGGCAAAAGCCAGACGAGCCTTTCGTATCTGTGTAGGGATTTCATCGACCACTGACCAACCCACCAGGGCTGATCCAACTTCACTTCCTAGGTATGCGAGTTGGTCGACAAACTCAACCACTTCACTCTCTATTGTCAGCCGAGGCACTGTTGAAGACCAATCATGGGGCAACAATTTGCATTTTGGTGGTGAGAAACGCATACCAAACATTCTCAAATTTTCACTCAAAGTGTCCAGAAGACTCTGTATCTTGTCAGTATCTTCACCCAACAGGACTGTCATTTGAGTATTCTAGGTATAACGTAGAATCCTCCCGTGATCACGCCAACCTCTGTGTAATCAGGTGATGAGAGGAAGACCTCCAAAAGAATATATATGATAAAATTCAATAGGAATGGAGAGAGCAGGCACCCTTGACGGACACCACTCGGTGAGCATAGCTCCCTAGACAACTCACCATCGGCTGTAACAGGCCCACAAGTGTCCCAATAGAGAGCCTTCAATAAGGTGGTGTACTTACTCGGCACGCCTTTCAGTGAGAGACATTACCATAAGACCTCTCGATCAACGGAGTCGAATGACGCCCTCAGTCGAGAAATACAGCTATTATCGGGTGTCGGTAAGCATGCCTGTGTTCAAGAGCCTGGCGCAGTGTGAATATTTGGTCGATATAAATTAATGCAAACAAATTCTCAACTACTAAATAAAAATGTGTACCAACATTTGGTATTACTGCGTAAGGGCTCAATTTGCCATGTATTACATCAGCACATCCATTTCGAAAACACCAAGATGAAAGGCAGAGAAATAGGGGAAAAGGATCTCGAAAGTCGTAGGAAGTCATGAGTAGAGAACAAGAAGGAATGAACGTGAGTGAATACATCTGCACCACTGAGATTGACCCCGAGCTTTATCATCCAGAGTCTCGGGTAGCAGATACACGAATTGATAGTCAGAGATTTCATGTATTGATGCTAGGTTACAGACTGACCACGAGTAACCCTTTTCCAACCATGAACCTACCTACATCAGAATAAGATACGTCCCAGCCATCTTAGTCAATAACAGTTAACAACCTTATCAACTGACTTCTCCTTTCTGCCTACAACCACACCTGACTTCTGAGTTACTGACAGGTGGCATTAAGACATATAGCATAAGCGACGAAGGCAACAGTGTGACGGAACACTTGAAGCTTTCTCATGTCCTGCAAGGGTAACGTTTTAAAGTCACTCAGAAGCAGGGGTTCTGAGAGAATGAATATCCTAAGAGACTTATTATGAAGTATGGAAAAGAACAGATGGAGAGAAATAAATACCCAGTTGTGGAAAAGAGGGTTTTTATACACTTTACATTCAAGGGAGAGGCAATATCCAAGAGAAATGATACAACAGTCAAAGAAGCACTGAGAAGGTGCAATTATTAGACATTTCGTAGACGCAGGATGTCAGATTGAAAACTTGAGTGCTCTTAGAAGAATTGCCGTTCAGAAAATGTCAGGATTACCGCGGTTCGCAGAAGCAATTGCTATTAAAACGCTTTCAACCTGATATTTGCATACAAAGAGAGAGTGTGCTTAGTCTCTCATCATTTTATTACGCATATTTCATCCTTCTTGCTTTGCCCAAATAATGCATCTGTTCAAGTTGCCAGGCTGATGAACATCAGACACCGGGGATCAAGAAACAACTCCAATAACAGAAAGTGAAAGAAAGGGAAATGAAGACATGTGGAAATAAAATGACGAGAAACAGGGTAACCAACCATAATGCAGACGAACGAATAAATTCAAGTTGCCAATCTTAGTAATAACACGGTAAAGACAGAGAAACAATTAAAAAGGAGGTGTGAAAATTAATTGTGACAGGTGTAAACAAGATAAACAGATGTAAAATACTGAGGTTGATAAAATCTATATAGAGAAAAAATATTAGTTAATTTATCGGCCTGTAACTTATCTTCAACACTCTCCTATAGCTGCTACAACCCCTTACTTCTAGCATCTTGTCAATAGTTTAAACAGTAGTATCATCAGTGTCACTGGAATAAAATGGCTGCCCTAAACGTCAAACACGACGAATATATGCATACTTAACGATAAATGAACCCCCATCTGCAACTTGACATCCAGCTAACAATCATAAGGCGAGTATACTAAGCTGCAGTCCGTTCTGTCCTGTTGTACGGCTGTGAGATATGACCGTTAAAAGTAGAAGTGAAGCGGTTACACGGCTTTGACCATAGGTGTCTTTGTAGCACTGATTGCGTGTGGTGGAATCACTGAGTGAGCAATGTAGAGGCCACGCGAAGGGTGTTAGGTAAAATAGGTTGGTCGACTGATGTGGCTGTAAACCTTCATCGACTTAAGTGGCTTGGACATTAACTACACATACCGAGTCACCACGTACAACGATGTGCCATGCTGAGGAAATTAGATTAGGTTAGAAGGGATTGCTGGGTAGCCGCACCAAGATGTTGTCTAAACCGGGTGGGTAGATGTAGACTGCCTCGTTTGAGTCGTCGAGACAATAAAAATCAATGGTTGACGACTATCGATCACATAGCTGAAAATCGGTCCCAATGACGCAGATGTACTCACTCCTTGACACTTTGTCAAGCTTGAATATTCACACTAACCTTTATCTTCATTTTTTTTTATTTTCTCACAACTTTGTCTACCTTAATATTACTTCTTCTATCCACTTGTTCTTTGTGTGTGGCAACTCAAGTCGATCCAATTGAGTACGTTGATTTTATCTTGGCTTGTCTGACAATTTGGTGCATCCAATATATACACAAAAGGCATATCAATTAAAGTTGGTACCCCCCCACACACACACACACACAACAGTATGGAGAGAGGAAGTGGATAGAAATAGATGATCAAACTCAAAAATGTAGTGTGGAAGAGGAGAAAATAGTTACCAAGGCGGTTAGTAAAATGTTTCTAACCACAGGATGCTAATCTACTAAGAATCCCAACCAAGAAAACATCTCCCTAGATGGATCATGCCAACAGTCTAAGACTCTATAGATTGGTGACATGTTTTTGTCCGTACATCCTTAGATCTAAGCTTAGTCCTACTTTGGCCAAGGTTAACGGTAACTACGTTTAAGAAACAACTAAGTCAGTAAAAGATCCCAAGCTTTGGGAGGAGATAGCCAAAAAGATACGATAGCGAGTGAAACTTCTAACGAGGATAGAACTTTGATAACCTCTCAAGAAGGATGGCTGGAATGCAGGGTGAGGTGGTAGCGTAATGCAGATCTATCAGGAGAACAAACACTTTTGACCTTGAGTATGCAGACGATATCATTTTGCTGTGCAATAACATACAGGCTACTCAGATTGTGCTGTCAGTAAATGAGCAGTGTCCGTAAGTATGGTATGAGCTTCACGTCGTCAAAGTGCTTCTACAATACAGGCAGTAGCCAGTGTCTGCATTCATTCTTGGTGGTGAATCGTTGAAAGTTCTAGAAACGTGTGCGCACTTAGTTTGTTGTACGAGTGCTAACAGACATTTGGTAGGTCAGATTACTACTTATACTACGAAAATAAAAGGCATATATTAGTCTGGGTTCACTCTAGTGCCGTTTGATGCCAGCCTGGGTGTAAAACGTCCGGTGAACAACGCATTCGTATTAATGGTTCTACTCTAACCCTGTAAAACTTCGTCTCTCCAAATTAGGGAGTCCAATGACTCTGCATATTTAATTATCACTCTTCGCATGGTTCCAGGCATCCGGTGGATAAAAGATGAAAAAGATGCAGTTCGGTGATAAGGAGGACCAGCCATATCCAAAATCGGACAAGGAGGTAATCCCGCTTTATGTATCTTCGGTAGTTCATATAGACGTGGGATTATGGAACCAACTGCTCAATGGTTAGCCGAAATTCTGGAACCTGTTAGAAGGCAAGTGACGAGTTTTTCTATCCGTAATACATTCCAGTTCGTTGATGGTATTAAGGATTTTAATACTTTAGACAAGATGATGTTTTCACTAGACCTTACCTCATTGTTCACAAGTGCGCCACTCACCGAGACTGTTTGTTCTATATATGACTATATTGATGCACATAATTTGGTCATAGGACTACCAATTAGTTGCTTGGAACAGCTTTTATTGAGGTGAACATTTAATGTCCAATTTAGTTTCAATAGTGAAATATATAGACAGAAATATGGAATTGAGATGGGGTCACTCACCATTGGGACCATTATTAGCAGACACTTTCATGTCGAAACTAGAGAATTCTCAACCTTGTCAAAACTATGAATCGCTTTGACTTTTATAGATGTATGGGTGACACGTTTGTTATCTGTGACAAAGTTGTAGATTTAGACGGTGTTTTTCGTTCACTCAATGAATGTTATCCAACCCTCAAGTCCACCATAGAGAAGGAATTAGAAACAACTATTCCTTTTCTTGATGTGCTTCTCATCCGACGTAAGAATGGATACCTAAAAAAATCCATCTACAAAAAAGTAACGTGAGACGGACAATTAACTAATTTTTATAGTTGGGTGCCTGTCAACAGAAAAAGAAATCTTATTCACTCTCTCTGCTATCGAATAAGTAATATCTGTAATAAAGATTGTACTGATAAAGAGCTATCGTTTTTAAAAAAGCACATTTGTCGAAAATGGTTACCCGTGCCTTTTTATTGATAAAAAAATATGCAAGAAGGAAATACTAAACCGGTCATCCACTCGGTCTCAAAGAAAAGATTGTCCATGAGCCTAGAATTTAAAGGTGACCTAGCATCAGATGTACTAAAGAATCGTAAACTATTCTCCTTTTGTGTCAAAGATAAGCTTCTTTATTTGGTATCTACCAGTTCACCTGCTCTTGTGGAGTAAGGTACATCAGCCGTAGCCAAAGAATGCTTTCTACATGCATACGAGAACATGTTCCTGCTTGGTTTTATAAAGGTGAAAGAAAGTCTGTTAGAAGTTCGATTCAAGAACATATGATTGATTTCCATCACTCAACAAATCCAGACAATGACTTTAAAATTATTTATCAAATTCACCCAAACCTCCCATGTTTTCCTTATTTTCAACTTCTTAAAATAGCGTAGGCTTTAGCCATTTATGAACTAAAGCCTGATCTGTGTGTACAAAAGAAGTATGTACAGTCACTGTTTTAACCATAGCCATGACATTTCCCCACCCCCATTAGCTTCGCCTTCTTCTTTGTTAATTTAACCTTTGTATCCTTCATTTATCACTATTACTGTTATTATAATTGCCTTTACTCTGGTTAGTTTTCAGTGTTGTTTCACTTAATTGTCATAATCTTTTTAGAAAACATCGATTTCAAGCTGGCCAACTTGCCTAATCTTGTTGCATAGTACTTAATTGATTTACCGCTTTCATAGATTTTTTCACCTGAGTTATATACCTCCTGTGAACCACTCCACATATTACGTAATCCACTTTACCATTCATAAATGCCTGTCATCATCCGTTTTATTATTAGTCATCATCATCACATAGTGTTTAGTTTTCGTCAGGGTATATAATTTTTAAAATATCATATATATATATATATATATATATATATATATATATATATATATATATATATATATATATATGCGAATGTACACTTTGAAAATAAATTCGTTGAAATGAGTCTTTTTGGGGAACAGCTTGTTTTAAGTAGCCAGCAGTTCGTAATAGGCAATTAGATTAAGAATGGCTATAGCGAAGTTCCCCAGGATTATTAATGGTTGCATGATAATCTTACTACACGCAAGAATCGCTAAAAAGATATCTATGATGGGAGCCGTTAACTTAAATTTTCAATATATTTCCTACAGCCATACCTCACGATCGCACAAAAAGCAGAGTAACTCTATGCAGGATACTCGTTTATTGATATAGTCATATATCTCACCGGCATCAGAGTTGGACAATTACCAGTCAGTACCAATATGGGACTTGACAACGCTGAGTATACGTTAAAATTCCTATACCTCGCATGAGAACACCAGAATACAAACCAGCAAGATAAAGGACAAAATATCCTGAAAAATCAGTAGAAAAGGTGGGAGCGTAAGAATGTTAGGATAAAGCTAACTTATGAATGCATCAGCACCGCTGAGGTTGGTTCTCAGTCGTATCACCTAGTCTTCGACAACCAAATTTAGTTTTTGTCACCTGTAAAACTGTAGCCCAGTGGTTTAGGGCGGTGACCGTCAATATTGGGTCGCAGGCTCGAGCCCCACGTCATCTACTGAGGTCTGGACAGCCAGGTAGTATTACTAGTCCTCACAGGTGTGACTCATTACCTACTGCACACATGTGCACAAGGTGGCTGAGTGCGCTCCATTCTCCGTGTAACCCCGACCAAGTCTGTATGTCTCAGCCCAATAGTCATACACTATTTGAACTGATGCGACATGTTAGTTTACCTTTAACCTTTTTCCAGCCTAAACCCAATTCAGTTGACATTAGCTGATAGTATAGATGCTGACTAGAAGTAATCCACATCAACCTTGTACAGGTTAACGCAATTAAGCTGAGCCGAACTTGTTGTGTGAAGAATTAATGATACCATGAGTTTGGCTCCACATTAGATTGTTTATTTGATGTAGCACACAGCTATCCAGTGTTACTTACTGGATGATATTTCGAGAAGAATATATTGCTTATATTCATATCCAAGTAATCATAGGACTTTCAAACTTCCTTTATATAGCCAAACATTCCCTCATTCTTTCATTTTAATGGTAGTGAGATTTTCTAGATATCTGCAATATGTGATTGATCATCCGTGTTGCATGAGTTAGGTGGTCAATCTCTTCCTCCAACTGGTTATATTGGATTTCAGAAATGTCATCCTGTAGTGTGATGATGAATCGGTGCTTGCAGTGCTATAGTCCACTTTTTCTTAAAATTGCTTATCTTGTCCAAATCAACATAGAACCAGATATTACTGCGTAACGGTCCCAGTTGCCACATCCAACATCAGTACATCAAGTAAAAAAGGAGTGAAGTGGGAGATGAAGAAAAGGCAATTCAGTCAAAAGAAATATAAAGTACTAAAAGAGAGAAAGGAAGAGTGAGAAAATGGAGAGATTAGGTATAACGTTAAGACGAGGGTAATGTGTGTATACTTCTTGTAAGGTTGTACCATTGTTTTGCTAACTTTTTGTGCTTTGCTCTTCCGACTGACTGGAACTAAATAAATCCGCGCCATTGTGACCGATTTTTAAATAATGTACTTAGGATGCGGTTGGACAATGGGCAACCGAAGATTAGATGGAGGCCAGTTCAACTGCTTATCCAAGTGCTGCATTTATCCTCCTATTGATCGCCGTAGTAACTAAATTGCAGACCCATCTCTCTCCGATACTACCTTATTCTCCGATAACCTTTTTGCCCCTCTTGTCTTCATCAGTTTAAATAGCTGTCAACTGCTACTTATCCTCATGTCCTTGTCCATCTTTAGCTTTCACCACCCATCAGATTTAGTAATTGCCTAGACTTTGCGTCAGTTTGCATTTGTGTTGCTTAAACTCTTCATTTTTCTCGGAGTTTGCAGGAATGCATTTACTTACACACATTAATTCAGAAGAAACGATCAGAGCCCAATGACTTTTTTTTTCTGCAGGTATAAGACAGTCTTAAACGCATATTTTACAAACGACTAGAGATCACGCAAAGCTTCTTCCCGATGAGTAGGCATTGTCGTATGCCGATAACGGTCCAGTCAGTTTTCCGCTAAAGCAGTTCTAGTATTCTAAAGATCCAGCTGCGCTTGCAATTGTTCTTTTGCTTCACTTTTTTCTCACGTCCATTTAGACGCGTACACAAGCATGCTAAGACCACTATATAATCGCTGTCCAAACATGTGCTTCAGAAGGAGCAAAAATCTTTCACCAACCTTTTTAATGATAACTGGTAGCAATATGGTCTATCTGTGTCCACCAATGACTTGAGATGGGTAGATACCACGTCATATAATGTCTCTCTGTTTGAAGTTCATCCTGGCCAGAAATAGGTGGTTGTTTGAGCAGTTGTAGCGGCTGAATGCTGTGTCCGTTTGGCTGGAATACTGAAAGCGTTATCTAAGTGCCCTTTTGTTTGACTTGACCTACCCACTTGAGGGTTGAAACCTCCTGCAACGAAAACCACTTCTAAGCGTTTGACTTTCGGTAGGAGGCCACATAGTTTCCCGTAGGACTCATCTCTCACTTCATCCAAGCTGCAGACAGTGGGTACGTAAGTAGGAGTTACAAACAGACAATAGCTAATGCCCTTATTCCTTGTGTTTATGACTTTTACGTCCAGTCAAACATCTCACAGGCGACTGTCGACTGGGATTCAGTCGAGCAGTGCGCTTTTTCTCTGCACTTAGTATTATACCTATACCTGCAAGACCACGAGAAGTGAACAATGAATCTCTCGAAACTTGAAGGGTGAGTTTTGCAGATTCATCATATTGGTCAGGTGTGGTTGAGTGAACAACTGCACATGGGTCCTGTATGCATGTCTCTCAAAATACCACATACATCTATGGCCAGAGAGACATGTTGCTCGAATTGACTGAGGTTGCGGAAACTGATTGCTTTGATACGTAGCGTAGGTCGCATTTTCAGGAGATCATGGATGTGGTACCGTAAACTTATATCGTTATTAATAGTTGCAGAGATGAAAGAAATTAAGGATGAAGTAGGAATATTCACGGAAAGATGTGATGAAGGACTGAAAGGTAAAAATGCAGAAGGATGGTAATGATCTGAAGGAGATTGAGTGCTGACAGAGTTGTGAAAAGCAAAACGAAAGTGATGAGTGCTTCTACGGATATCTTTGAAATAGTTTATTTAATAACCCAGATCAGTATCTTTCAATGTTGTCTTACCAATTGTATGAAACATTTCTTGGTTCCGGTGTTGTTCTAAACAAAATAAAATAAACACAAACACTGGTTTCTACATTGGTATTTCTGCCTGCACCAGAACTCAATTCATTGCGGCAATTTATCGACATAGAGTAATATTAGAAGATCAATTATACTTCTTTGAGGAACTACACTCTTCACTGGAAACAATATCCCATCTACCCTCATTCGTTACCTTATAGCGACGGTAGATGGGACATTGTTTCAGGAGAAGCCTGTGAATAGCGTAGTTCTTCAGAGTAATATCATTGATCTTCTTGATAACCAATGATACCAGTTAGTCAGATTTCAAGTTTTTATTATGTACGTATGTATGTATGTCCCTAGGTGGAGCTGTGAATCACTGGTTTAAGGAGACGACTGCCAACCAACTGGTAATGGGTTCTAACCAAGCCCCACTTACTGAGGTCTGGACAGCCAGGTAGTATCATTAACCTTCACACAATAAGTGTTGCACATTGTCTACTGCGCGAATGTACACGATGTTGCTGAGTGCATTTCGATTCTTTACCTTCCAGAGTGTAGGGTTTATATAATCCAGACCTGCCACGTATTGTTGAACCAATGGTAAGTTTCCCCTGTAGTTTAACATGAACGCGTCCACTAGCAGGTTGCTATCACGGGCTACTACCCATTCCTCCCTCGTGATGAAGTTGGTTAAATAACGGTATTCAGTCGTGAGACCATGCTGCTATGTGCCAAAAGATAAAGTGACTCAGTGTGGTTAAACACGTTGTCATGGCTTATTTTTTTGAAAGCCTTGGTGACTAAACTGGTTAGGCTGCCAGGATGACGACTAACTGCCCTAAAAACTGAGTTGGTCACTAAACCATTCCTGTCCCTAATGAGGTGTGTCAAAGACAGAGATATGTTGAAAAGTTACGTAACAGACTAATCTACAACACCCACTAGCTAAGATAACCTTGGGTGCATATCATCGGGGAGACTGAGATCAAATCAACGTCCATATCTTTCGCACATCCACTCACGTGGTACCTGTGATAATATATTATTATAATCAATTAAACGCCGACCACGAGCTTACTTCTTTCACTGGAAGGATAACGTAATGAATCCTGTATTTCGAACAGATCACAGATGAGTAGCTATCAACATCACTCGTGTTGTTACTAAGGTAACGGAGATGATGTTGAAACACGACCTATTGACACAGGAGCAGTGTGCCTCTAAAGCTGGAAGCTCAGGCTGAAGAAACCCATTAGCGGCAAAAATCCATCAACAGACGTGATGTTTACTGGTTTTAGGAAGGCCTGTGGCAGATTCCAATGCAGGACCGAAGAAAACAGTGCCGAAAACGAAGCTTAGGATTGAGTTAGGAAGTACCTATACGAAAGATAATCAGGACTAACGACTAAAACACGTTAGTAGAACTACTAGCATATTCAGAAAAGAAATAGGGCAGAATTATAAAATTTTGTTGTTCTTAGGTGGCTTGAGCCATGACTTTTAGCTATCAATCGTACTATCAAATTAACACTGATATCAGTTGGATTATTTAACAATACGCTTGGTAAAATTGAAGTGAATTGCTTGGAATATGACTATAATGCGCTGTTTTGTGTATGATGTTGTTTAGCTCATACGAGCCACCTCTTGATGGTTTTACGGTCTGAAAGTTATTGTAGCTTTCAGACAGAACCATGGATAACTTAAGTGCACTTACAGCTGTTCGCAAAAATGCATACAGGCTCCAAAAATAACAGTTTATGATAGATTCACTTTGACCTAACCATCAATGAACAAAGGCCAAGTAATCTATAGAAGTACAGAACATCGTTCCAGCGTAAACGTTTAGGCAGAAGAAACATTTTGAGACATACCCAAAAGGAGGAAGTCGCTTTCGAAGTATCTTTCGTAAAGTGCCCGAATCTTACAATTTGCAACTAACTTGCCTGCTGGACAGTTGTTCTAAGCTTTATAAAACTTAGTTGTATCCCTTAAATCCTAACCTGGAAACTGAGGACTGCAGACTTTTAGTTACACGGAGATTTTCATTTATTTACAATTCTTAGACTTGAATGAATCTCGCATTATTTCGCATGCAACAAGGACATGAAGTCCTCACTACACTCCCATAGTTAACTGACTCCGAAAATAACCATGTAGATTTATTGCTGTGAAGTAGTCGTTTCAAAGACATAATAAGTGAGTAATCCTGCAGGAAAGGGATCTCTAAGGGATAGCTGCAGGTCAAAGGATCTACTACATTCGCTACAAAAGAAACTTACAGTGTGTCTAAGATATTCGTGGGGTTTGACCTAGAAAGACGAAACAGCCACTAGGTTCCAATATCCAATATCCAATATTGATAGTGCGAGCGTAGAAAACTAGTAGTTTTTGATCTCTCGCGTCTAGTTCTTAGGGCTTGGTTCCAGTTGTTCGGTTCACTCCTGCAGTGGACGAGGAAATCCCCTCTGCTTTCTTGCTTTTAGCTTCGGTGAGGTGGATGTTTTGTGGGTTAGTAGGTTGTAATTTGTAGAGTGATTAGGGAGCTACGGGCTGCTGGGAAGTTTAGAGAACAACCGTGACTCCTGTCTGTGTAGGTACCTGAAAGAGAATATTAAGGTAGTGGTAAAGGAATGAAGAGAGAAATAAGGAAGAGAAAAAAATAAAAAAATAAAAAAAATAGTAATAATAATGTAGGGAAGAGGAAAGGGAAGGAGAAGAAAAGAAGGGGTGAAGAGAGAAATGAGAACGAAAGAAAAGTATTTGGGAATTGCCCGAATGGTCGCGTGGGTTTGGTTCCTACAGAAGAATTAGTAGGTAATGTGGGTGTATTAAGGAGAGAGATAGTGAGTGGTAGTTAGGAGGGAGTTGGGGGTACTGAGGTTGGTGACTACCTGAGTACGTCCGTGGTAGTCCATGCGAGGTGACATAACTGTCTAATCGCCTCTTGAAAGAGTCGATTGAAGGAGCTATAACGATGTGTCGCGGTAAGGCATTCCATAAAGCACATACTCTTAGGGAGAAAAATTTGGACCTGAGTGTGGTGTTGGCTCTCTGGTGTGCTATCTTAATGGGGTTTCCTCGTGAAGATCGTTCAGTTGCAGGCAAAATTGATTTGTTTGCATGGTCTGCCTGATGGGCGATCTTGTATGCCATAATGAGGTCACCCCTTTTCCTGCGATAACCCAAGGTAAATAGGTTGAGGTGTTTAAGTCTTTCAGGATACGTCTTTCCCCTTAGCCCCACAACACATTTTGTTGCAGTTCTTTGTATTCTTTCAAGGAGATTAGAGTCTCTCTTGAGTGTTGGAGGAGCCACCGTATTGAAGACCTCTAGGTGCGGCCGCACGTAGGATTTGAAAATGGTGAGGAAGAGTTCGGGAGTGAGGGCGCCAAGCTGTCTACGCAGAAAGTGTAGAATGGCGTTCGCTCTGGTTGTCATACCTTTGTAGTTGGAGCTGGTGTCCAAGGTGTCGGAGAAGTTGAGCCCCAAATCTTTCTCCATGGACACTCTGGTGATAGCACGGTTGCTCAACATGTACTGGAAGTCGGTCGTACTTGCCTCATTTTTACTGATGTGCATTACTTTGCACTTTTCCAGTTGAAGCTCAGGCCATTTTCCGACGACCAGAGCTCGAGTTGCTGCAAGTCCTTTTGTAGTGCTGCACAGTCGGCTTCTTCGTTTACCACCCTCCAAATTTTTATGTCGTCAGCGAAGAGGAGGATGGGTGAGGATATTTTGTCTGGCAGATCGTTGACAAACAGGAGGAACAGAAGCGGTCCTAGGATTGCTCCTTGGGATACTCCTGACGTCGACGGTCTCCACTCCGACCTTATTCTGTTCACTTTAGTGCAGAACTGCCTCCCTTCCAGGTACTCCTTGAACCAAGAGAGTAGGGGTCCACTTATACCAGCTGACATGATCTTGTGAAGCAGTACTGTGGGTGGGACACTGTCAAATGCTTTGGCTAGGTCGAGAAATACAACATGTACAGGTTTTCTATTATCCCAGCTTTGTGTCCAGTCGTCCCAGGCAGTTAGTAAGTTGGTGGCACATGAGCGACCACTACGAAAGCCGTGCTGAGCAGTGTGGACAGTGTTTTCTCTATTGAGGAATTCCCAGATGGTGTCAGCTACCAGGCTTTCCAACACTTTCGACACAATAGGGAGTAGGGCAATCGGCCTGTAGCTGCCAGGGTTTTTTCTGTCTCCTCCCTTGAAGATGGGTGACAAGATGGCACTCTTCCATTCTTTAGGGAGTTTGCACGAGTCTATTGAGTGCTCAAAGAGGTTGCGAAGTGGTTTGGTAAGCACCTCGGCGCAGTTTTTCAGAACCACTGGTTTCAGGTTATCGCAGCCAGGGGACTTGCCCGGACGTAGCCTAGATAGCTTCTCGAACACCTTTTTCTCTGTAATAGAGACGTGACAGAGGTATTCGTTATTTGCGACCTGGTCGGTGTCGTGGCGAGTCGGTGTGGATCTTGTGTCAGTGCTGAGTTGGGCTTGGAAGTGTGAGCTCAAAAGCTCGGCAATCTCTAGACTGCTTAGCACACTCCCGTCATGGCCTGTGACAAGATTCACTCCCTTACTGGTCGACTTTCTTCTTGACATGAAGCGGTACAGGTTTTTGGGGTTGCTTTGTAACCTCGCTGCCAAGTTTGTTTGGTAGGAAAATCTGTCGTTACGCACTCTAATGTTACAGAGATTGCGAATCCTTTTGTAGTTCAAGAAGTCAGACTCCCTGCGTGATGTACGCCACTTGAACCAAGCCTGCTTCTTGCTCCGGATAAGCCTCTCTGTCCCACGCTTTAACCATGAGGTTCTCATTGATTGTCTGTGTGTTACTTCTGGTACACTGTGACTGATGGCCCCAGTGATTATTTTCTTCACCTCCAACCAGTGTTCATCTATTGTGAGATGAGTCCAGTCCACTGGCCATGATGCATTCATGAGGTAGTCCCTCATGGTCTCATAGTTGGCCTTGCTGTAGCAAGGGAAGGTGTTGGGCGTCTCCAGTTGCAGAGCCTCCCTAGTTATCATGGAGAAGGTGATTACAGCGTGGTCACTGAGGCCAAGGGGAGGTTGGATGCAAACATCCTCAATGAGAAGTTCATCGTTCGTCAGAACGTAGTCAAGGCGCGATGCGTTTCCGTTAGGTCCCCAGCGTGTAGCATCACCCACTTTCTCTGAGAGGCCAGCAGTCTTAATTGCATCCTTCAGCTTCTGATTGAAGGATCTGATGCGTCTCCCTTCCGTCTCGAAGAGGATGGACGGGGTGTTGAAGTCGCCGGCAATGACTACGGAATCGTAATTTGCAGAGGAAGTCGTTAAGATAGCCTTGATGATCATTTCCTTATGTGTAGGGGAGCAGGTGGGGGACCGATATATGACTCCGAGCAGGTATTTGGTACTGTGGAGAGTGAAGTAGCACCATAGGGACTCTGGGAGCTGGGTTAAGGCCGTATCGCTAACCATCCTTGCCTTTAAACAGGAGTTTACGTAGATAGCCACTCCTCCTCCTGCTCTATGTTCCCTGTCCCTGCGGAAGAGTTCCATGCCAGTAACATGCATCTCTTCGTCGGAGATGTCTGGCGAGAGCCAGGATTCGGTGATGAATATGATGTCGGAGTGCTGATGTGCACGCAGCGTCCTCATTTCTGCTACCTTCCCTCTTAGCCCCCTAACGTTGCTGTACATACATATTAGAGTGTGCCTGGTGAGGGGGAGGTCTGGTTGTGTATTTTCGCAGGATGAGAGCTTATGTGGTTGGGTCTACCCTCGCCAGTCCTCATAGGACTGGCATTGTTCCGTTTTTTGGTGTTTTGTTATTAACTTGGGTGGGGGCTGTGGCAGTGGTGGCTTCTTTACTTGATGTATCTAACTCACTGGTCAGCGCCTGTGTGACGACCACTGACTCCAGAGGTCTTGGTGGTTGTCGTCTCTCCTCTTGCCTTGTGGGTCTAGGCTTACTTTCACATATACGTATTGAGCCACCCATGCGATCCTTCGCATTATACCATGCCTGTAGAACGTCTGTGAGGGAGGCATATGAGTCGAACTGGACGGCGAGTAGTCTGGGATTGGGTATGGTCTTCAGGTGCGCTGGCCTTGGCAGTCTACTGACGCTGTTGGCCGGTATACTGTTGAGACCAACTTTGGTTGAGAGCCATTGCCATTGTTGGACGTCGTGAAAGTACCGATCTTTGACCGAGCGGTCACTTGGCAATTCTGGAATCCCATGTACAACTATAGTGTTGTTTCTGTTGGGATTTCCAACCGCTGACTTTCTCTCCTCCTCTCTTATTGACCATGGCTTGTCAGGCCTGGCCCGAATTTTACAGGCATTAACAACGTCCGGTTGTCGCGAGAGGAGGAGTGTGTCTTCAGCCTCTTTGGCAGTATTTAGGGACACACGTAAAGGGGGTGGCTACTGCTTTTCCAATATCCAATATCTTTTTACGAGCTAGCTGATTTCTTCGCACTCCCGTCCTGGTCTTGCAGAACGGTCTCAGGTCTCTGGTGGCGTCCGATGAAGTAGATGAAGTAGGTCTACCCACCAGCTGGTTGTAGCTGTGGTTAGTGCAACGGGCTGTTGGGTATTGGTTACATTTATAGGAATTGTATGCTTTTTTCAAAGACTGTGGTGCAGATGGGTCCCCCAAGTGTCATGTCACCCGACAGTTGGTCGGACTGGTACTAATACTTTCTGAACTGTCGTACCTGGGGTTTTGGGCTCGGTTTTCTAATCTGGTCATACGCGGTTTGAATAACGTCGTGCCTGTACACCTCCAATCTACAGGCAATACTGTTGTGTCTATAACAGAAAAACAGCTTTCAAACATGTCGTAACAGTGAACGCAATTCAATCAATCAACTGGAAGCAAGAATTGCTACTCACAAGGACACATCTACTTACTCAACTTCCTGCTGGTGATTCGTAGCCGTTCGACTGCTATAGTTTTCGGCTACCTTCAGAGATCATTGACCAAGAAACATCTTTCCTGGTCTTAACATATGCACTTGCGGTATTCGGTTAAAGTTGCCGATAAAGTGAGAGAAACCGGCTACCAAGTTCCTGTTGGTAAGCTGTCTATTTTACGTCTCATTCTCTCCCTCATTTATACTATTTACGTATTAAACCACCAGACTACGATGATGCAAAAGCCAGGTCACAGGCTCTAAATCATATGACGAGGTCTGCAGGCGGACAGAATCCAATCCGTGTAGAAAAGATGGGTATAGCGACACCCCCATTGTCAAGGATCTTCACAGCACTGCCACAATAGACACAGCATTTATCGGAACCGGTAAACTCATGTGGTTGGGTTGATAGTAGCACGTCTCC